CTTTATATTCGAGGAGACCGTGTGGTTAAATGAACAAATGCTCAACCAAAGTCATACACTTGAAAGAAATGAAATCATAACCATTGTTACATAACATCTATTGACCGTGACATATCGGTCAGAATTAGGCTACTGTCCACATTAATAGACAATATCTCAAATACAGGCATCGTAGTGTAAAATAAAACGTTGAAAAGTGTAAAAACCCGGTTGTTTTTCTCTTCTTTTTTCACTTCTTTAAGGAAATACCCGAGTCTCAACAAAAGGAAGCGAAGGAGGTACGCACATTGACGTCACCCGTCTGGCAACAGGTCTGAATGCGTCTGGTGATCTGTCCTCTGATTGGCTGAGCGAAGACAACTCGACACGCGATTGGTCAGATGTGGATGAGCTGCAGCTACATAGCCCCACTGTAGAGTCCATTTTGTTGCAATTCACAGGGAGTCGAGTCGGCTGTGATTACGGCCACTTTCTACCACTAAAGCCGCGACGGGGTCGGATTGTAGGGAAATATAGCTTTGCTATAGTTTCTATATAGTCCGCCTGGAATTATCAAAGGCTGTCCATATTTTTGTTCGACGAAGGGCCACTACAAAGCCAGAGGAAGTCGGTAAGAGTACGCTTTGTGCTCGGTCGCCATGTTGAATGAGACCTTCTTTGTTTTGGTTTGCTGCCAAAATAGGCTGACCCACAAAAACAAGACTTTATTTGCAAGAGTATTTGGTTTTCAGAGCAGTGTATAAATTTGATTTGGTATGGTTAATCGAAAACTGATCTTGTTTTTCACCGTAAGGCATTGTAATGGTAAACAAAGGAAAGCAATGCCTTAATTGCATATTGCGCAGGAGTTGCTAAAGACAAACGTTATGGGTTTTAACCGTTTTTTACAGCCATAATTACATTTATGGTAATTATTATACGTGTTTTTATGGGTTTTTTTTTTTTTTTTTTTATTTTTTTTGTAGTTTTGCGATGACGCAGTTTAAATGGTCTGTTGTTAAACGTTTTTTTTTCCGATCACGCAGCATAATTGCAATGCAGAGAGCTGTGCAAACTGTTCTAATGCACATTTGTTTACAGGATTGTGACTTCCAGAGCATCCGTGTGCCGAGGTGAATTAATGTTCAGCTCGGTTCCACGACAAATCATCGCTCGTTGGCACATGAGAACCTCAGTTCTTGCTGGACACAAAAGTGCAGTGAGAAGTAGAATAACTACTTCGAGGACCTGGGGCCCGATTGGAGGAGTGCGGTTAAAGAGAGACCACTGTAACACTTTTCTCACAACAAAGAGGTAAGCGCCCAGCTTGTTTTGCTCTGGCTGCTGTGGGGGAGGGGCGGGCTGCTTGGTGTTCTGCACGTAGCCTCTGTGCTTGTTATCAGTGGGCGGTGCTGCTGCATGCAGCCTCCTCCTGGGAACAGATATTTGGTACAATGTATTTGGCCCACACACAATTAATATTTCTTACATTGCTTTGTTGCTGTGTTTTTAAGGTGACAGTGAAAAACACCATGGGAGGTGGTGAGAGGTACAACATTCCAGTTTCCCACCCTGAGAGACCTTTATCCAAGAAGAACCACCCACTTGGCCGGGCTAAGCAGAGGAGCCGTGAACAGAACGGGTCGGCTGTGGCAGCATCTGCAGGGAGTGCAGGGGGCCTTCACCACAGTCATCGCCGTAGTGACAAAGGTGCAGTGTACCACAGGTCTCCTGAGGCGCGGCAGGCCGCGTCTGCAGACAAAAACGCAGCTGTCCGTTTTGCCATCAGTTATGATAAGAACTGGGAGGGCGCTGTGTCTCACCTCAACACGCTCCTGAGCGCTCAAGGAAGTCCAAGCTACGCAGGGCCCAAGTTCAGCGAACCACCATCGCCCAGCGTCCTGCCCAAACCCCCCAGTCACTGGGTGTCCTTTCCCATGGGGGCCTGTGACAGCAGGGAGATCATGGCCTTCCAGCTCAAGAGCCTTCTGAAGGTGCAGGCGTGAGGCACACATGTTTGGTGTTTAAACTGGCCAATGAACTGGGACTCTCTGAGGGCATGCACCCACCAGGAACACCTCAGTGCTGTAATACTTTTACCTCTTTTACATTTTGACCTTCAGACTAGGGAATGTTTGCAGATACTATGCTGTAAATGCTAACTCTATTCCCTTTTTTAACCTAATAAGACCAATTACAGCGTTGTAGCCTTGCTGGTAGGTGATGTCTTTGGAGGAGTAATCTTCTGTGACTTATGATGAACTGGGTATCCTTAGTTGTACTTTTGTTTTGTATTTTTTATGTTGGCTATCGAAGCAGATTTGAGTGTCACTTTATTTTCCATCGAGTGTTAAATTTCAGGTTAGTTCCCGTAAGTGCAGTCTATTTCCAAACAACTTTTTGTTTGACATTCTCAGTCCTCCTCTTTTTTTTTTTATTCCAGTGCTAATACAAATTCACATTTGTAGCCAGTAGCTAGGCTTTTGTTGTTCTTCTTGATATATTTGCGACACTCAAACTGCAGTTCTGCAGGGACAAAGCTATCTTACTGTTGAAGTGAGTATAGGTCAAAAGTGTAACCTCAAACAGAAGGGTGAAGAGACCATGGCACAGAGACCTTGGGCCTTGAACTCCTGTATATTTTTATTGCGCTGTGCGCATATGCACTATAGGAGTTGGCTCAAAGGGCTGCTACACTCTATCATAGCATTATTTTGTACATGTTTTTGTTGTTGTTGAAAGGCGTATGAAATGCTGTGTGAACCAAAGCAATTATTTTGCTCCGTTGTTGCCCAGTATTGTTTCAGTCAGTTTATCCACAGTAATCCAACTATAATTAGTTGAGGTGGGTCATTCTGACTGTTCTAATCTGTATGTTATGCTCCCAGATTTTGCCTACAAAGAGCCGTGCAGCAGCTCAACATGCGGAAGAGGGCCAGAGTTAAGTGTAAGATTGTTGAATTTTGTCCTTGCTCTGGTTCTGTTTAGTTGCATGCACCTGTTAAAGGCCAGGCAAAGCTGTGGAGACCCTGAAGTGATGTGGCCTAAGGGACACAACAGTGGCTGGTGTTTGTTTACAAAACGGGTGACCATCGCATCGACAGACACTTGCTGCCTTGTTTACCCTGTGCACTGCAATCAGATTTTGAGTTACAGGTCAGAATGCTATTTGAATGATGGAGGCTTAATCAACTGTCCTCACTTTTGAATCCTCTGTTGAGGCACTTGTTGCTTTCTCTGTGCAGAATTGGAGCTGTTATGGCCAGCCTAGAGAAGTCAAAACAAAATATGAACTTGACAAATGTTTAAAGAGCCATGTAAATAATAAAATGTATAAAGTACTTGTAGCATATGTACATTTGCAGGTCAGTTTTGATCTGCTTGACAAAAGTATTTTTAGTAATAACACTGAATGTATAAGACATGCTAAGGTCATGTCTTGACTTCAATACTGAAGAATATTTTTGTTAAAAAAATGCCTCTAGCATTTCTCAGCACCCGTGCACTGTTATTCCCAGAAATGTTGCACACATTTTTTATTGTTTTATATTATGCACAGTGTAGGGTGAAAGATGCTATGTGCAAATAAATGCTAAATAAACATGAGTAAAATTTTAAAATTGCAATTGGACAGTGGAGACTTGCTTATGTTTGGATCTGGGTGTGAATGTGCTTACATCATGTGAGCTTTTATTTTACTGTTATGACCCGTTTGTGCCTAAGTTAATGCTGAAACCTGCTGCAGTTCATTTCTATCTGGGAGAACCACAGATCGACCAAATGTGGAGCACCTGGCTGTCGGCCGATCTTCCGCCTGCCTACAGCCTGGTGCTTCTGCCACTTTCACTTTGTATTTGTTCACTTCATGTTCATATTTTATTTTCTGTTCGGTTGGTTCCTGCATAGCAACGTCTCCATGTAAATTTAACTATGACGAATTGGCTTTGAATTTCTCCCCCTATGAAATGTCACTGAACAAATGGAACTGATGTATGCCCTTTATGTGATTGGTAACTATATTGGTATTGTGTTAAAAAATGCAAGATGCACTGTTATTTGAAACCAAAATTCCAAAAGAAAAAATAAATCCCCTCCCCTTCCCCCTAAACTTTGTCTTGTCTCTTTAACATTCTTTCACACATGAAACTATGAACACCAACACTACTACTAGCTGTAGTTCAACTTCTAGTTATCTTGGCTACTTACAAATATAACACTGGCTGAACTTACGTTCATACTTCATATCAAATTAGAAGATTATTCAAATTGCCCGTATCAAGCTGAATCATCCAGTTTCTTTGTGATCATGGTTTCTTTGATTACTCTCACATTAGATTTGGCAGGGCTGTATTGAGCAATTTTCTGATCTGTTACAATGTTTCCTTATTAAGAACGTACCCGCATTCTCTCACAGAAAACAGTTTCACCCTGTGATGTCGTGGTAATACAGGAAGTGCTATTTTCAAACTTCCTTCATTGGAATCATTTGGATATCAGCCCTGGAACTCAAATCTCTACTGAATAAAAGGTATGTTAACATGAAAATTATCACTACATGACATCACAAGGTGGAACAGAGCATTTTGAGCTTTGGAGATGGTAGGTATGTTTGTTTTTGAGGAGCATTCTAACATGGCTTAAAGCTCATAGGAATACACTTTGTGTAACATAAGAAATCAGATTATAATATGATTTTGGTGTGAATATGAACAAGACAATAGAAGTTCAATAGAACTTCTATTATAGGCTAATATTCTAGGCCCTAGAATATTAGCCTGCTAGAGTATTACTGTAAATAAAAGATTCACCGCAATCTCCTTAGCATGGTAATGGTATTTTGCCAAAGTACAATGAACAATGAACAATGAGTGTAATTGCTCATGACAAAACATTTACCAACTCCGCATTTGGACCCGACAGAACAAAGTCCTGATATTTATGGTGAGTAATGGCATTGTAAAGATGACTTCAATTGTTTATAGTCAAATTAATCCTCAACAAAAAAAAAACAACCAAAAAAACAAATTTACAAAGTGACATTTTTATTTAAATATCCACATCACATCTTTTTGCTTTTTCTGATGAGAGTTGTCGAGCCCACTGTCAAAGTCTGCAAAGAAGCCAGAGGAGCCTTTAATAGTAATGTTCATAAATTTATATAGTCTTTTTAGTCTTATCTTCTACTGTACCTCAATCATCTCTCCTCCTTTAATCTCCTGGATGTGGTTGAATTTTCCTGTGTTGCACACCAGTTTGCCACCCTCTAGGTTGACAGTGCACTGTAGAAGAACAAAACAAAACAAAATACTGAAAATACTGAAATGCTAAATGCTTTCCCTTGAGATCAATAAATATCTCTCTCTCTTATTTCCAGCTATTATGCAGGTGGGGTTTACCTTGAGCTTCTTGCCGTCCATGGTGGTGATTTCAGCCTCCTTGCCGATGGTAAAGGAGTTGGTCAGGTTCTTCCCAGGGGTTTTGGAGGTGATAACAAAGTCATTTCCATTCTGTTTGATTTCTGTAATTGGCTTGATGTCCTTGGCTACTTTAATGACATCTTCTGGGAGCTCTGTTGGAGATTCGGCACCACAAATAGTATAAGCAGATGTTTGTTATAATGATTCAGCTCTTGGTATTGGTAGTCCACTCACCGATAGCCCTGAGGAACTCTTCATAGTTCTCTTGAGCGTAGACCTGCCATGTTCCGTTGAAGGCCATGATGATGTTTGGTCTCCTGGAGGCTGAGATTGCTTGAAGCTCAAAGCAAAGTGGGGACAGATACTTGGAGCTCCCTTCTCTTATAGCCAAATGCAATGGGGCTGTTTAATCAGTAACAGCCCATGGAGTAATCCTCACTATTTGATCAACCGCAAGTTCAGTAACTTCTGCACAGACAAAATTATGTACTAGGTAACGGTTACACAAATGTAAATAGAATATATAAATAGAATATCATCTAGTTGGGATTTTTGAAACGTAATAGTAATAGTAATAGTAGTATAGAAAAAGGGTTATCATGGAAAAATGTCTGTGAATTTCTGTACTTGTTTTGATGATACAGATGTTGGCATATAAACAGTGCTGAGAAATAACTGAATATTATATTACTAATTTTGAGTAACTATTCCTCTTTGTGCAGGTAACACATGCAAACACAAAAGTTGAAACTTAACCATGGGTTAATCACTATGGCACTCCTACATGCCTAACTTGAATCATCCATTTAGATTCAATAGGGACATTCAAGGTACACACAGTGCGTACAGGCGTACCTCTGCAGGCTCCTCTGTGGGGTTTTACTGTGGGTGCACGGGCTTTATGTGTTACTCACTTGAAGATCCTAATAATATATTCTTATAACTGTACATTTTCTACACATGCACATGCACATGTCTGTCACTCAGGCTTGGGTGTGGTTTTATATGGATATTTTTCAAATACATCCCTAAAGTGAATGTATAATTATGGGCCTCTGTACTATACCGTACATACTACACACCGCAGTGCAGAGGCACGTAAAGTTACCACAGGGCACGTTGTTGTAAAATGTGACTGTAAATGCAACTTGATGAAAAAGTATTTTAAGTATTCAGAAAGCAATACTCTGAACCACGTATCAGAACGTGTTACAAAATACATTTTAATGCATTTTGCATTACAATACATTTTAATCTTAATAACTACATACATTTGGAAAGTATTCTTCCCATTACTGTCTATAAGTATGTTATCACGATAACAAATTTTGAAATGTGATATACTGCTGAAGTTAATATAGATAATAAAAGATAAGATAATCCAGATTTAAACCACAAAAACTTTTCTATTGTTAAAAAAACATCAGCTGCAATAAATAAACATTAGTACAACATTATTGTACTTAGTTTGCATCTGTAATGAGCCTTAAAAGATATTAAATCAATCTTTTACAACTTAAATCTCACCAGATATTGACCCTGAAAATATTATTCTATCTCTAATGATAATAAATTATTAACCATTAACAAATTCGGCGGATTCAGTACTGTCAGAAAAGGGTTACTATTTGTATCCATATTTCTATTTGCAATATCTTACAACACAAGTGTGAATCTACCAAAGCAAGGCCCTCCACTCAGGTCAATGGCACCACGGACTGTTTGCTTCTGTTGGTGGACAAGAGCACCAGCCTCAGTTCACATCAGACCTCTTAAAACACATTTAGATAGATAGATGCTTTACTGAGCCCAAAGGAAATTCAAAGTTAGATACAAATAGAGACTGTACATTTTCTTCAATTCATTTATTGATTATCCAACAGATTAATCTAAACATGCATTATGTTTATATTGTCATTAATAATCCAATACCACTAAAATACCTCAGACAGAAGATAGTTCAAGATGATTAAATTAAAGTTTAACATGAATAAAATCATAACCTTTGAAATGCACATGACAGGTTTTCATGTTTTTCTCATTTTTACTTGATTTGGTGGAATAGTACCATAGTCATAGATAGTAACATTTATTATAGTTTTACTTCGGTCTAAAGATAGTTTGTGTGGGGAAAAAAAAGGTTATAAAGACAAGCACAAAAATCCACAAAGTAGTAATGACTTTTAAAGCAAAATACTATAGGGAGGGTGTTTTTTTTGGTTTAAGCCTTCAAATTACGATGTGTCATTTATTTTTTATTTATTGGTTTAATCATACCCGTTGTGCAAGTTTTGGCTATTAGGTAACAATGATGTAATTACCTCTGCACATGTCATGTCTGGTGCCCATGTCCAGCCACAAAGTAAAATTATAAACTTCACAAAAAGATAGAAAAAACTAGGCAACATTTTAAGTAAAATCTTAAATCTCATTATGTCAATTATGTGTTAGTGAACTTAGGGACATGGCCATATGCATTTTAAAGGAGCGCTATGTTCCACAGTACGATATTAAACAGCCCTACCTTACATTTATTCAATTACATGTGGTTTTATATCTCAAAAATACCTAGTAAGCAAGGTCACCCCTCCATAGATCTGACATGTAACTTGATCTAGTTTGGTCTCCATGAAGATAGAAAGGTTTAATGCCATACTGTGAAACATTCCACACAAAGCAAACACATCTCCATGGAAAAAAGCATTTGACAAACCCTCCACCAGAGAAGTTATGCAATGCACCTTCAATATTTAGGATTTATTTTTGAAAATGTTTCTTAATGTCCCTAACCCATCATCACAGCATGGGCGGGTGGTTTATCTCCGCGTTTATACACACTCACAGTCACATCCACCGTCTCAGAGCCATATTTGTTTTCCACGAATATGCTATATTTCCCAGAATCCTGCATGGTGACATTATTGATGGTGATGGTTGTACATTTATGCTCCTTGGTAATGGAAAACTGGCCTTCGCTGGCGATCTGCTTGTCATTTCGGAGCCAGAAAATGTCTGGGTAGGGGTCTCCATCAACATAGCACGTCAGGCAGAGAGTCTGTGGAGGAAAACAGGAGAAAGAGAGACAGTGAAAAAGGAGAGATGGGTTCTTGAGTAATTTTATGACAGCATAATTTCACTTCTACAATTAATTATTTTTGAAGAAACATTGCTCTCTGCAGTTTGGCTACTATATTATATTATGTTAGTATTATTCAAGCCAGTTTTAAAAAAGCCCTACTTCTACTTGATTGATACTGTTTTAAAGGGCCTATATTACGCTATTTTCTAATCTAAATGTTATAATGTGTAATCGTCAAAAACATACCTGGAGTTGTGTTTTGTTTCATTCACACATTTTTATCACACAAACCCTGCATATTTAGATTAAGTTCTTCTTTCAAACACTCGTGCTCCACTGTGTTTTTGAACTCATTACACCTTCATTAGAATAATCTGGCCCTGGAATAGCCAATCTTTACTGAACTAAAGGTAAAATGTAGCTGTTAACTTGAAAAATACCAGTACATGACATCACAAGGTGGAATAAAGCATTTTGAGCTTTGGAAATGTCTAATGACTAATAATGCAATAATGGATGACTCAAACACATACAAACAAAGCACAACATTACTTTGGGTATGTATTTGAGGAGGTAACAACATTTGAACATGGCTTAACGCTCACAAGAGTCCATTTTGTGTAATATAGGACCTTTAAATATTGGTACTCTTATGCACAAATTTTTACCTATGCCATATAGAAATAGTAAACTGTCAAAGAGATATACAATTGTATTTTCATGATTACAAAATACTACCTTGCCCTCCATAATGGCCACCACATCAGGCAGACCTTTGATCACATGTGCCCTTCCTGTTAAAAGCATAAAATGTGACATAAATTAATCTGTCCATCAAAAACATTGTCGATAAAAATAATAATCCTTTGTTCTGTTGTTATGAAACACTCACTTTTGGCATCCAGGGCGGCTTGTCTGTAAAAAACAAAAACAGGTTTAACAACATTTAAGAGTCAAGTATTTAGGTGAAGATTCATGCATGCTGTTAACTCACACATGGATTAAGATTGTCACACCATGTCATGCTAAAGACGCACCACTAGGAGGCAGCACTTACTTCAATCTCTGATACTCCTTTAAGGCATCGGCAAAGGCTGTAGAGGAAGGAAGAAAGGGTTGGTCGTACAGTAAATTCAACTTCATTTCCTCTTAGTAATCGTTAATTATATGGTGTAGCTCATTATTTTGTCCTTCGGATTCAAATAAAAATTTCCTTCCTAAGATTTCCTTCTGATGAATTGACAGTTTGCAGTGACATCATGCTGGGGGTGCTCTGTATGTATCTCCAATGGTGGTATGCTCAGAGAGTTACCATGGTGACTCAAGGCACACCTTAACAAACACTGTCAAATAAGTTTTAAGTTTTAAGAATTTGAAAACTCATGTAAAAACTAAATAGATTTACACACACATTTTTAGGAGCCTGTGATCAATACGAGTGTTCATGGTCCTTGTTTAGGTGTTTTATTTTTAACACTAAGATGAGAGTGACTAACTGAAAAACTGTTGGCTAATGCTGTGACTGAAATGATAGTTCAGAGGGACTTGTTTAATTGCACAAATCAGGTCACCTAGTTCCCGCTAAGTCATTCTTTATGGTCAGATTGTGTTGCAATAAAGTTCAGATTAAAGTCTAACAAAGCAGACAAAGCAGTATCTACAGTTAGCATAACAACCCAGGGAATGTTAATGACATCAGCTGCAAACTGTCATTAAAGAATAGAAAAAAATCTAGGTCTGCAGTTACATAACCATCAAAACATGTATTTATGTACTGTCTCTTTGTTACTGGTATTGTGTATACAAAGGTTTGGGCTTTAATTTTCTCTTAAAGGGTGAGGACTTTTTGGAATATAAACGATCTTAACCAAACTTTATAAACATAATACTGAAGGAGTTAAACGTGTATTACTAGAGGCGCTCCTCCCTCACCTTGTCCTGACAGGTCCAGGTGACGTTTATGTGTGTCTTTTCCATCAAACATCTCTAAGCTGTATTTCCCCTGGTCCTTCTCAGTCGGGTCGAGAACATCGATCCAGACCTTCTGCTGACTGTAGCCTGTTCTGGTCCTGGTCTGGTCCATGGGCTTTTCCCTACAGGGCAAATGTATAGGAGTTTGGTAGAGTAAGCATTACCTGAATACTACAAAGGTGTTATTAGTAATGCTTCATGCAATTACATAAGATAGCCAGCAGATGGAGTTACTAGACCAGTCCAAGAATTCCACACTTGGTGAAACATGGGAGACTGTATTTTGTTTCAGTGTTTTTGTTTATTTAGTTAATAAAAAAAGCTGGAGATAATAAAGTGATTTTAAAAAGCTGCAAAATTACCCTTTTATAGTTATAGTCTTTCATTATATTAAAATAATAAATTTTTTAAAGGTACACTATGTGGCTTTTCTTACAGAGATCTGCAACCTGCTTGTCTCCATGGAGATGTTACTGCTTTGCCTGGAATGTTCCACAATATGACAATAATCATACCTATATCCACGGAGACAAAGCATGTGGCACCATAAGATGTAAGAACTGACTGCTTAAAGGTCTTCCCCAGCAACTACCGGTAGTTCATGTAGTAGTAGTAACAGTAGTAATAGTAGTAGTGGTGGTGGTGGCAGCCTAGTAGTTCTCACTTGAAAAACCAGCTGGTCTTCAGGTAGTTGATGTAATATTTGAGGGAGCAGAAAAGCCTGAATCCTTCCTCCGTGCACTCGATGCTTAGCGGCCCAGCTGACAGTGCTGCACAGACAGTTAGCATAGGCGGCTGTTGTCATGGCGAAGATGAGACGACACGGTATAATTAATATCCCTGAATAACGCTCACTTAATTAGCACAGGTTTGTATTTACACTCGCCACGCTGGGAACGTAACTCAATGATTTCACAAATACAAATAACTCACCACACTGTTTACTGAGCTGCTGCAGAAGCTTGTCATACTCTGTGAATGAAAAGAAAGAACAATTAAGCCTTCAGAAAGAATTGATTTTCGAAAAATTATTATTCACGGTTAGATTTAGAGCAAAGTGAGACAGAGCTGGTGAAGAAAGTGTAGACAAAGAACAAAGAAGGGATGTTGTGAGAGTCTGTGAAATAGTACAAAGTCGCGCCCCCACCTTTATCGGATAATTTTAAGAAACTCTGATCTTCTCCTCTCTTATCAGATACCACAGCCTTGTACGTGCCCGTCTCCTCTTGGGTAACCTGAGGGGAAAACCACTGACCTTACTGAAATAAAACATATTCAGAACTTTCTCAAATGAAATATTAATACCCCCAAGACAACCACACTACTTTAATTTATCCTTGTAAGCTGTGAAGGTGAAGATAAGGTGACTCTATTTTCTTGGAAAAAAAAATAAAATCTACTAAACAAAGTCTACTAATCTTTTCTGTACCCGTGAGATTGTGAAAGAGCTGTGACCAGAGGTTGGGTCATACGCCACCCCCTTCATCTCGTTGCCCTCTTTAAACCATTTCAGGGTTGTCTCCTTAGTCGTGTTTGCCACCTGTGAGAAGAACAGACAGGTCAAGTCAGTTTTATTATCTTGTTATTTTCTTCCAAGCAAATTAAATGTTATCAATACCACAATCAGTGATGGGAAGCATGCATTGAAAATGTATTCAGTTACTGAATACTGAATACCTGCATTAAAATGTATTTTGTAACATATGATGCAATGTCCAATCAGAATACTGTATTCTGAATACCTGGAACACTGAGTGGCATTTACATTATAGTATAAAAAAACATGATATATAATTACAAACAGCTTGTTTTGAATTAATTTATGTATAATTAGAGAAGAAAAAATCAAATGCACAGGAACTCCAAATTAGATAGAGAATGACTGATAGACAGATAGATAAATAGATCACTTTATTTATTCCAAAAGAAACTCAGTCAGGTGACACAGTGATACACAATATAATTAATATTCAGAACACGTATTTTCTATACATGTATTCAGTTGCTTCCCAACACTGACCACAGTTATAGTAATCTGCTGGTTGGTTTACTTTGTTAGATTGTTGTGCTCTAGGACATGGAGTATTAACATCTACATTTTGGTTAACTCTGTCTGTAGAGTCAATTGTTCACTAACACATTTGGTGTTATGTGTCGCTACTGATATTGCTCAGGAGTTACCAGGAGCTCTCCACCTGCTTCCAAGCAGCTCACCAAGGGATTTCTGAATTATACGTACTGTGCTGAATAACAAAATGTTATTAATTACCATTGAAAATGTGTCATTTTGATGCCTAACTCTGTTCACTAATAAATGGATGATGGTTTATGTTTTATAGGCATCCAACTGTTCCCCATCTAAGGCCATGGCGCTTATATTTACTGTTTCTTGCAAGTGCTAAAATGAGTAGAGACTGCTGCCTTAGGGCCTATTGGCTGCCTGGCCTCCATTCTACTCTACTTAAAAAGATGTGGGTATGGATGGCATTGAATGTTGTTGCCGTGACCTTGAGCAAGACACTTCCCCCAGGCCTGTCTGATTATGTAGTTAAATTACCTTGCACTTTATAACCACTTCACATTCATCTGTCACAGACCAAGACAGATATTCCTGGAAATGGGGCCCTGGAAAACACAACACATGTTGTTGACCTACCTAGGATACACACATGACACTTTGGATCACATACAAAATTACATAGTAGTAGATCTGATTTAAATACACTATGCAGTGCAGTATTGTGAGACTTTTCCAGAATCATGGACTTTAACCCAGTGCGGTGTGTGTTTGCACACAGGGCACTGGGACATTGACCGCTGCATGTTTCTAATCACGTCTGGAACCTGCACATCTCTGTCTACATGGTACGGCTGCCAACTGCACCACTGCTGTTCAAAATCTATCACTGTATCAACAATGGTACAAAAGGCAGGAGAGTCGTGTTCCTTTATTATATAGTGCACTTTTCTGTACATGCAGTACCCCCTTGTGCACATGCAGTACCTTCTTCTGTACATGCAGTACCCTCTTGTGCACATGCAGTACCTTCTTCTGTACATGCAGTACCCCCTTGTGTACATGCAGTACCTTCTTCTGTACATGCAGTACCCTCTTGTGTAGATGCAATACCCTCTCCTGTACATGCAGTACCAGGGCCAGGTAGGGAGTTGTAGTACTTGTCTGTGATGCAGAGGGGTCCTTACCAAACTTCCTCTTATAGTTGTGTCGGTTTGCACCAGCCAAAGCCATAGTCTGACGAAACACTAAGAGACAGGAGCACATTTGAAACAGCTTTTACACAGTTGTTCACTATTGTCTATTGTTTGATTATTAGAGTTTTTGTTTTAAAAAGGTATGTTTTTGAATGTGAACTTTAAACCACTGGGAACAGAGAAATTTGATAAACTTACAATCATCCACAAAGACTAAAGTGAACTGGTTCTTGGCTTTGCCGTCCCTCAGCTGAGCCGTGTAGGAGCCCTGGTCTTCTGGGGACAGAGGATCAAACACAATCTCCACCAAACCTTTGGGCTTGTCCAGGGAGATTGTACGACGCTACAAAGCAAACCAACTCTGAGAAATACTCACATGAAGACACATGAGATAGTGCACTTGTGTGTGGGACAAAACACAAAGTAACTATTAGTATTTTACAAAGACATCAGTATGTGTCTTTTGGGTTCATCAGAATAAGTGAGTCTCCATGGAGAGGCTGCATGAGGTTGCTCTGTGATGTATGGCAGGCCTAAGGGTCTAATCAGCGAAATGGCTTTTGAATTCATAAACCACAGCTGTGATCATTTAGAGATAACATATAATCAGTACATCAATACTGTAAAGTTATGATAGAAATTAAAGAGTTCTGTGAAACCAAAGCTTCACATTTGCATTTGGCCCTCTCGCAGTGCTGGCCTATTGATTATTCTGAGCAGGTTATGTTGCATTATATATGGCTGCAGCTGGAGAGTTGTGCTCATATTCCCTTTATGGTTCAAGTGAACTACACTTCTTTATTATAAGACAAAATGAGTTTCCCTCAAATGGCAGAACATCCCTTCTTTTCCACATCCTGGCGTTTTATTATGTAGTCAACACGATGAATGTTTGTGAAAATGCTCTTTTGTTTTCGTTGCAGCAAAGCTTTATATAGTAGAACATTATAAAAATATGATGGTGAGATGAGATGATGGTAAATGTTTGTAAAAACACAATGTTAACATGTCAGCCTTGTTTGAACAGCTCTAATATCAGCAGATGTGTTGGATGCCCTCCTTTACTCCAGTGATTCTGGAGCCTTTCACCTGAATGAGCTCAGAGCTCAGGGTCAGGCCTTATGCTGCGCAAAGCACCTGCTCCCTTCATTGCTGGCAAACTCCAGAACACTGTGTGCCATGTTAATAGCCTTTTCCTAATGAATTTATAAACATGGTCATTGAACCTACACAAAGAGCATTCATATAGGCCCTTTTGTTAACAATTCCTTTGATCGATAAGTACTTGGTGGTACAGATACTACATGTTTCGGTGTAATCCTCACCGGGGTGCTGTGAATTTCCTGGTCATTTAATATGAGTCTGAGCTCTGCGGCGTCGCTCAGACTCTCTGTTTGGAGCCACAGGCGCACCCTGCCCTCCTCTGACACCTCCACCTGCCAGCCCGTCTTCAGCCCGATCACTGCCAACACAGAATCACAGGTTTACACAGATTAATAAGGCTCAGATACAGTCTCTGACTCTGTACAGCTTTAATTATGGGATTTATTTAAACATGCTAGCAACAGATGTGATGAAGTAATGAAGATATCCTTAATAAACAATAAACATATAGTTAAGTACATACATGGATTTCTCACTTGCCAGCTGAGCTCCTTCAGTCGTTCTAGGTCTGTAAACAAAGACACAAAGAAATCATATCAATGCACTGGATTTATATAGCACCTTTCAAGACACCTTTCAAGACACCCAAAGTGCTCCACAGTGCTTTATACATTCGCCCTTCACTCCAGGCTTTAGACAAGTGAGGTGGTAAGATATTGTAGCCAAAGCTGTCCTGAGGCAGATTGATGGAGCAAGGCTGCCAATTCACTCACTAGCAGGGCTGAGCCTGGTTAGTACTTGGATGGGAGACTGAGAATATTAGGTACCACAGTGGGGTGCTACTGGCAAAAACTGTTGTTGTGGCCTTAGGCAAGACACTTCACCCACATTGCCTAGTATGAATATGGTGTGAATATTGGTGGTAGCAGTGGCAGAGACAATAGTAACTTACCACCACCAAGTGTGGAGTAAATTAATATTGAACTGTAAAGCACATTGGGTATCTTGAAAGGTGCTATATAAATGCAATGATTAATTAATTAATTAGTCAACTAAGACAATATTTTGGTCGCCTAGGACTCCATTGACCGATTAATCTAAATAAATGACTAAATGCCTACAGCCCTGACATATAAAACCCACTGTCTCTTAAATCCTTTTTACTTGTCTCATTTGCTTCAAATGCCTTGGCTGTTTGTAGCCCTCTCAGACTCTCTCTCTGGTTTTACCTTCTGCAGTGAAATCATAGCTGGACGACATGCTGGGGTTGTCCGTCACCTCCACAGTGTACAGGCCCAGATCCTCCTCCGATGCATCAGTCAAGGTGAGCACGGCCCTGACGGACAAGGCAGAGTAATCCAGCCTCTTATTAGTGAGTCTACCTCCCAGACAGCCCAAAGTTACACGTTGTCAAAAAAGTTCCCATGTCTATAACTCCAAAGCAAGTCAACTTATAATGAAACTTTTCTTCTCACATTCACTGAAGAAATGAAACAGTGCGAGTGTGAAATTCAGGGGAATCTAGCACAAAATCCCCAAAGAAACAGTCATTGACAGCACAATGCTATTTCTCAGAGCTAATTCAATTGGTGCAGAGCAGTTCGCGTGCCTGAGGTTTCAATCCATTTTTGTTATAGGAGTAAAGTTAAAAAACACCAAATCAATCTTTTAACAGCGTATTTTGCAGTCGTTTTTATGATGTTTTTAAATATGTTAGAAATTATTAAAGAGGGGTTATTTACTGCTAACACATAACATTTAGATCAGCATGATACCTATTATTGTTTTGAAAATTATATATTCACCAAAAACAACATCACTGCACAAATTGGCATGCATTCATGGATGAAACTGTGACTGTGAGTTTGTGAAGTTATAGTGTATTATTTTGTATCCTGCTTTTGTATATTTATGGAAAATTTATGGTAAAGAGGGTTTGAATAGGACCAGAGTGAGATTGAAAAATTACTTAAACATGGATGACATATAAAACCTCTTCAGGTATGTTTTGGATGGATACTCTTTAAAGGGCCTATATTGTGTTATTTTCTAATCTATTTTATAATATTATTTCCTAATCAAAAACACACCTGGAGTTGTGTTTTGGTTGATTCACGCAAATCCTGCATATTTAGGCTGAGTTCTTCTCTCAAACAGAAACACTCTGTTCAACCTTGTGATGTTATGTGGTAATACAGGAAGTGCTCCACCGTGTTTTTAAATTACATATAACTTCATTTGAATGATTTCAGCCCTGGAATTGCCAGTCGTTACTGAACTAAATGTCAAATGTAGCTATTAACTTGAAAACTACCACTACATGACATCACAAGGTGGAACAGAGCATTCTGAGCTTTGGAGATGTAGATGAACTAATAAAAAAGATGACTCAAACATGGATTAATGAAACAAAATACAACTCCCAATACGTTTTTTGATGAAGGAACGACATTAAAACGTGGCTTACAGCTCACAAGAAACATTTTTTTCAGTCATGTAGGACCTTTAAACCCCCCCAAAAAGTTAGAATAATGATTTCCTGTCTGTAGTCTAACTTAAAAATTGTGATCTGCACTGAACATTTCCGCTTGACTGTCTGGAGCATACCTGTTCTTCTGGCTGTGTGCCTGTGCTCTGCTCTCATCTATGGGCTCACTATATTCTTTGTTCCAGAGACCTGGAGTTTCCTCATTAATCTCCTCTGCCTCGTATGTCAGACAGATGAAGCCGTCATCATCCACACCGATCTGGATGTCTTTGGAGCCTGCAGGGGAAGAAATTCAATTAAGTGAGACGAAAAAAATCACACTATTATTAATGTTGTTCAAGCAATAATTAATAAAAATGGTTAAATAATATGTTTGTGACTTGATTACTGATGCCAGATAGAAATTTCCTCACATTGTAACATAGATCCTTCAACGTCAGGTGCATATTAAAATTGATTGATACTAACAAAAACAAAGTACTGAGAATAAAGTGGCACTCCAACAATCAAGTTTCCCATTTTTCTTACAAATATTTCTCAAATTTTTCAAAAATTTAACAGACAAAGGTCTGCTTACCAGTTGAAAACACTAAAGTATGTTACAATCTTAAACAAACTATCAAGCTATTCCTGAGCAGAATCTTGCAGTAGTTCTAGTCAACAGTTGTGTTTCCATCACCTTAATTTTAATGTGTATTTTGAAGGTGGGTTGGAAATGCATTAATATCATATTGGACATAAAGTTTATTTGCTCATTTCAGGTGAATCTTGATTTATGCGAAGGTAAAGGTGAAAATGCACAAGCACTTTTTTGCAGTGACTTTATTTGTATTTTTATTGCATGTTTTATTTGTGTGCTTACAGCTATTGGTGCTACTCTTCTCCCCGTTCCTCGCCTGGAGGACTCAGCCCCTCTCCTGTCTTACCCCTCCTGTTTTTACACTGGCTGTTTTATTTTAGTTTTTAAATGTTTTAACATTGGGCTCAGTAGTTTTATTTTATTGTTTTATTATGTAAATAAACTTATTTTATTGTCTCTGGATTTTGGTTTGATTGACATTGCTCCCTTGTCTTAGGAACTTTTATCCTTTTTAGAGACTCCCTAGTCTCTTTATAAAAAAATTGGTGATTACCATTAGGTTAGTCAATGTATATGATATATTTTTTATTACTGTACATTATATATTTTTTAACCCACTCAGTCTCAACTTGCACATATAACAGTTAAAGCGCATTTTGGAAGATGGAAACACACTAATGGACATCCTTTTGGGACTGCTGCTGATTGTTATTTCTGTAATATTTTTCCAGTGAAGTTTGAGTTCATCATAACCTTTCACTGAGTATAGATAGTAAGTGCCCATCTGCCAGCCTAAATGTGTGGTCTACACTTTAACGTAGCAGTACCTGGTGGAGTGGTGACAGTGACGGGCTCAGAGGGCAGAGAGGGACATCCAGCTCCAGCCTCATTCACTGCTGTCACTCTGAGGCAATAAGTTTGCCCTGTCTCCAGACCGGACACCTACAACATCAACATCTCTATTTCATCTGAGACCTACTAAAAGCAATGTCAAACTACTCTAGACAACTCAAGAATTAAAGGTCCTATATTACACAAAACTGACTACTGAGAGCTTTACGCCATGTTATAATGTTGTTAGCTCCTCAAAAACATACCTTGGGTTGTGTTCTGTTTCATTCACACATGTTTGAGTAATGCTGCATTATTAGTCTGTCTACATCTCCAAAACTCAAAATGCTCTGTTCCACCTTATGATGTCACATAGCAGTAGCTTTCAAGTTACATTTTACTTTTTGGCAATGAGATAGCTCCTGCCTGGATGACTGAGGGATTTTTACAAACACAGATTGGCAATTCCAGGGCTGAAACGATTCAAATAAGTCTAATGAAGGTGTGTGGAGTTTAAAAACACAGTGGAACACTTGTATTACCACATGACATCACAAGGTGGAACAGAGTGTTTTCTATTTGAGAGAAGAACTGTCTAAATATACAGTATTTGTGTGTTAAACATCTGTGAATGAAATTAAACACAATTGTAGGTATGTTTTTAATGAGGAAACAACATTATAACATAGATCAGATCAGAAAGAAGTGTAATATAGGGCTTTCAATCGTAGTAGTAGTGGTAGTAGTAGTAGTAGTACACTGGCCTTAAAGGTGCATTGTGTAACGTTTCTGAAGGAGGGTCCGTCAAATCCTTTTCTCCATGGAGATGTTATTGCTTTGTCTGTCTAGGGATTTCTGAGCTGTAAAACCATTTGTAATTGAATAAATGCATGACAGCGCTGTTCAATGTCATACTGTGGAACATTCCAGGCAGAGCAATGACATATTCATAAAAACAAGTAGGTGACAGACTCTCCACCAGAAAAGTTACACAATGCACCTTTAAATGATGTCAGTACGGCTCCATAACAGAAAATTGATTTATAATTGTACCTTGTAATGTGTACCAGTGATGGGCTGGTCATTAATAGCAGTCCATTCGTCTGATTGGTCGCCCTGGCAAACCTCCAGTAAATATCCAGTAACAGGCCCTTGTCCTTCGTACAGAGGAGGAGACCACACAGCAACCAGGGAGGTGTCTCTGACCTCTTTAATCTGTACGTCATAGGGAGGGCCTGGAGGAGGAAGGACAAAAGAGAGTGTTTTTTAAAGATATATTAGTACACTACCAGTCAAAACATTTGACTCACAATCTCAATATATATGTTTTTTATATTTGTTTACTTATTTCAACATTTACAGACCATCTTAAAGTTTTAATATGAAGTTTATTTTTGTCACTCACTTCAGAAAGTCAAACCCATATATTATATAGACTGATGAAAGATGTATACAGACAAAGACATCAAATATATGAAGTAAAAAACTAAGAAAAAAAAGTGACTTAGACACACTTTATTGATCCACAAGGGAAATCTCTCTCTCTCTCTCTCTCTCTCTATATATATATATAAATATATATTTTTCTATTTTATAACCAAGTCCTCAATTTAGCCACACTTTCCTTTGTTGAAAAAGTATTTCAAGTATTAGTATTAGTATAAGTATTGTTTAACTTTTTATTTAATTTGATATATTTGATGTCTTTGTATGTATCTAAAATGTAGAAAATAGTAATGAAAGAAGGAGAGTCTAAACTTTTGATTGGTGTTTAAATGGACATGACCAGAGAAAGTTTGGACACATTGTCTAAATTTAAATTTTTACTTTCTATATTTTAGATACATACAGAAGACATCAAATATACAGAATGAAGCCACATATATAGAATTATTTAGTAAAGAAAAAAAAAAAAAAAAACTCTACCAAACATTTTTCGACAAAGTAAAAGTGATTTGTAGACTTGGTTATAATTGGTTATAATATATATATATATATAAGAAATGTTATTTAACTTTTTTTTTCCTTTGCAACATAATTCCATATATCTTAGTTCCTATAACTGATGCCAGTCTGTTTGTGTATTAAATGTAAAAAGTAGTAAACATATAGAAAAAAAACACTGAATGAAAGTGTGAGTCTGGTACTGTAATTACAAAGACAGTTCTAAAACACAGTTCTTTAGGAGTATATTAAAATAAAACAGCAGACCATTACAATCCAAAGCAGTACAGTAACTCTCCTTGGTCTTGGACTGACTTCATGGCACATGGTAGTTAATTTGCCTAATGATTTTTCGCTCATTCTTAAATTATTAACGACGTAGAGGGGAGCCCATTTGCCAAGATGAATGAGATGGGCTTTAACAGTGGCGTGTGTGAGCGAGTGCCTCTCCATTGGCTGTATTAATGTCAGCGGTCTGGAATACGAAGGGGGCAGAGGTGCATGCTGGGTCGCTCCATCCCAGACTGTGGGCGCGTGTGCTTGGGCTTGTAATGACCTATTCAGACGAGTCCCTTTTGAATGTACAATTTTGTTTTGTTCACCAGATTTCACATTTCACACTGCTCGGTTGCTGGGTTGATGAATCAGTGGGGTTTGGTGTCATGCTGAAGGTCACTGAAGTTTTTCTTGACAAAAAGAGTAGCAGTGTGGAAAGAAAATTTACTAAACAGGTCGCAGAGATGAAAGACGTACAGATAATGCTTTGTAGATGTTAGAGTAGCGTTTCCTGGGAGTGTGATGCTAATTGGAGGCACTGCTCTGTCTGAAACTCTGTTAGACTTTAATCTGTGCTTTATTTTAACCAGAATGAGCTGACTTAGTTGAAACTACAATAGGTGAGATGATCTGTACTCTCTCACTTTTTTGGTGAACAACTGAACACCATGAACTCTTATATTGATCAAAGACTCCAGAAAATGTGTTGGTTACATCAGTTTTGTATTTTTCTTAAGTTTTCAGATCTTAAAACTTTTTTCTGCTAAAAATTCCACCATAGACATACAGTACACACAGTATACAGTAGAACACCTCCTCTACCTGGTTCTGGCATTGTCCATTTCTCACAAAGGAACGGCTCACTGGGCTCCGAGGGCTTACTCACACCCACCACGTTGGCAGCAAAAACACGGAATTGGTAATAGTTTCCACTGGTCAAGTTAGACACCTAAAATAAAAAAGAAAAAACTTTACTAGTCTACATAACAATAGAACCTGTGTGCTTTAAAGGGCCCATATTACTCTATTTTCTGATGATGTTCCTCTTCACAAACATACCTGGAGTTGTGTTTTGTTTCTTTGACACATGTTTAACACACAAACTTTCATTATTTAGGCCGAGTTCTTCTCTCTGCTCTCTCTCTTTACCGAACTCAAGGTAAACGTTAGCTATTAACTTGGAAACTACCACTACATGACATCACAACGTTGAACTTTTGAGGTTTGGATTTGTAAACAGACTAACAATACAGGATTACGCAAACATGTGATTATAACTAAACACAACTCCAGCTATGTTTTTGATGCGGGAACAACATTATAACATGGCTTAAAGCTCACATGAGTCAATTTTGAGCAATTTAATGATGATTGAACCGAGTGGAAGACAGTGAAGAAGCAGCCGTTCCTTGTTAGTGTTGCTGTATTTCCCCAGGGGCAGGCATTGTACCGGGTGTTAGCACTATGGATACGGTTTGAATCTTTTGCTAAACTCCCAGGGCACTTTAGCACTAGGAGGAGAAGGATTCAGACTTATTGATCTCAACATTGATCTCCCTATTCACAGCCACTTAGACTTTAAGGCCCTTATCACTTGTGCAAGCAGTTGTGAACTTCTGCTGTAGCTCGAGTGCAACGAATTGACAGAACCACGGGGGCATATTTCACAGCAATAGCAATAGCAATCTAAAAAGCCTTACCCTTCCTCACCCTATAGCTCCGTTATCTACAGATCCTTTTCCATATACAGTTAAATAGAATGGCCGCCTTTAATCTGATCAGTATACAGTTTGTGGCACAGATTGTACAATGTTTTGCCAAGATGATGTCTGTGAAGTGTCTAATAAATTACAGATACAGGAGCGAAAAAATACTCAACAAATCTACTTAAAGGGGCACTATGTAACTTTTTGGTTAGGGGTCCGTCACCTGCTTGTTTCTAAGGATACATCATTGCACTGCCTGGAGTGTTCCCCAGTATGACATTAAACAGCTCCACCTTACATTTATTCAGTTATAGTTTAAGGTTTAATATCTCAAAAAATACCTAGAAAAAACAGGCATTCTAACTGTGGGCGGGATTGCCTCTCCACAGATCTGACCTGTAACTGGTTTGGTCGCCACGAAGATAGAAAGGTTTAATACCACACTGTGAAACATTCTAGACAAAGAAATAACTTCTCCATGGAGAAAAGCATTTGACAGACCCTCCACCATAAAAGTTACACAATGCTTCTTTAAGTAAAAGTACAGATACTGGAGCAAAAAATACTCAACTAAAAAAATCTACTTAAGTAAACATATTAAAGTACCTGTCTAAATATGTACTTAAAGAGTAAAGTAAAAGTATATTGGACAGATTTAGAGGTCTTATAGTGCTTAAAATGTAATGATTTTGATACAAATTTGTGCTGAATTTTGTAACAATTTCTTTATTTTTTTGTAGCTGTTTTAATTAGTTTTAAGCTTGCTCAAACTACAAATGTGTTAAAAATAAAACCCTTCAGACTTTTCTGCAGGTCACACCCCATCAGAAAAAAAACATTTCAGTCTATTTAAAAAAAATGTGGAGTGGAAAGTAGATGTCTGCTCTCAAATGTAGTGAACTAAACATAAAAAATATCAACTTTAAAATGCACTTAAATAAAGTATGGGTACCTAAAATTTTTACTTAAGTACAGCACTTTACTACTTTTACTTTGTTATATTCAACCACTGAGTGTAACTAAAAGTGATAGTTTATGTAAAAGTTTTTTTTTTTTTAGATGTTTTAAGTTTGGATCATTAACATGCCTTATAATTGAAGCTGAGTTAAAAACAAAACCTGACTGGCTGAACTACAGCTACCTGGAAAGAGGACAGGAGCTTGAGCCCAAATCCAATTAGTATTGTAATTAGCCTCATTTGCATTATGCAGCAAACAAGGGAAAACAAGCCAAAGTAAAAGTAAAACCTGTGCCTAGGTCATTGTTTTTCAGTCTGTTGCCTTGAAGTATGACCAGGTGCCTTAGGTGAAAAAAGTTAAATAAATTCTCACATGCAGTTAGTTAGTTTACCATTTGATGTGTCCTGGGCAACTTCTGAACCAGTTTACAAACCAAAACAATCATCAGTGCCAAATGGAAACAAAGCATATTAACCTGGTGTAATTTGGTGCCATGGAATCTTTTAGACAAAAGAGTGCCTTAGCTCAAAAGAGGCTGAAAAACCCTGGCCCATGTGACAGTGCTCTGCAGGGTTTAACTTGTACCAATAGGGGGAGCTGTATGTTCTTGAAACGGCCATTCAGCAAGTCAGGCCAAGTCATGCTGAAAATGTACGATTTGTTAAGCTAATTCTATTCTAATGTTGCATTTGGTGTAATGACAACCTTTTTTTGTATAATTGGTCAATGCTGTTAAAGGAAAGGACACGTTCACACAATATTTAATTACAAATCACTAGAAATCTCCAGAGGCAGGTGAAACATTTTATTTTATTACACGTCTCCATGGACACTCAGTTGCTAAGTGACAGAAGTCAAATGAAATAAAATACCTTTTATTAATATTGCTTGTGTTGTGTGAGGTTATTGTGGGTAGACTGGATGTTTTAATAAAAGTTTCCTGAAACTTGAGAGATTAGAGTTGTAATTCCACAGACCTTGAGCTTCCTTTCTGGGACAGCCTTCTCATTGACCTCTCTCCACACCTCCTCTCCCTCCTCCTTTTGGTCCAGGTAGTAGCCTCGCACAGGGTCTCCTCCACTACGAGCAGGGGCCCTCCAGCCCACCACCATCTCTGAGTCAGTGCACAGCAGCAGAACAATGGCAGATGGAGCAGATGGCACTCCTAAACCACACATAAAGGAAACAGTTGAACTGAAACGTATTTTTGAATACGTGCCTCACATCAAAATACCAGGTGATATCAGGTGAGCAGATACATCATTGTGAGAAAAACACTTGACAAGAAGTTTTTCCCTTGTGGATCAATAAAGTTTGTCTAAGTCTAATAAGTCTAAGAAGTGATATTTCCTTCACCATGTGGTCATAGTGCCTCTGAAATACTCATGACAGTTCATATTATCAATTAATACATCAAGCTAATAGGCTATTAACTAACAGCTAGATAATTCATATTTGTATCATTTAATAAATGGTTATTGCATTTTTGACAACTCAATAGATTATCAATGACAAACATTCCTAATCAGTCATACATAATGCATCTGAAAAAAGGTCATTGCTTATATTTGATTAACCAGGAAACATTATTGATAGAACTGGTGTTCTCTGTGTACAGTTTTGGGACGAATACTTTGTAAATGTATTGAGTTACACAATACTGAACACCTACATTAAACAGTATTTTGTAGTAGTACTTGTCTGATACATAGTCCAATAATAGTACTGGGTTCTGAATCAAATAAATGATCAAATAAAATTACATATTCCTTTGATTTCAGAAAAGTAACTGTATTCTGAATACCACCTGCCAACAACTTGAGAACTTCTCAGACTTGAGAAGTTTCAAAGGGCCCATATTACCCTATTTTCTGATCTATGTAATAATGATCAAAAACAGACCTGGAGTTGTGTTTTGTTTCATTCACACGTTTAACACACAAACCCTGCATATTTAGGCTGAATTCTTCCCTCAACCGAAAAGCACTCGATTCCACCTTGTGATGTCATGTGGAATTACAGGAAGTGCTCCACTGTGTTTTTTAACTCCATACACCTTCACAATCTCTACTGAACTAAAGGTAAAACTTAACTTGAACACTACCACTATATGACATCACAAGGTGGAACAGAGCATTCTGAGCTGTAGACGGGCAAATAAAGCTCACGAGTCAAATTTGGTATTAAGCTATAAAAAGAATATTTGTTCACTGCAATATTGATTTATTGACCAAATGAAAAAGTCACTGTACCGGAATCCAGTTACCCCAGATTAGTATTCAGAACATGTATTCTTGGTATATATATTCAGTTGCTTCCCAACACTGTCTGCGTATAATAGCATTTACAGTAGTATGTGAACCATGCACTCACTGAGAGCTGCTTTGACTGTGATGGGGGGAGACTCCTCTGAGGAGATGCTGTTTCCAGCTCTGCTCACGGACTTGACTCTGAACACATACTCTTTCCCCGTCTTGAGCCCATGTACAGTGAAACTACAACAGAAGAACAGACTCAATTCAGTGACTATAAAGATAAAGCTTTGTTGAAAATGCTGTCTACTCTAAGTTTCCTCCTGGACTGAGGAACCATGCTCAGAACAAAATATATAACTTATTTTACCTGAGATAAGTAGTAGTTTGGTGCTTCGATTGTTGATTCTGTAAAAATCTGCAAGTTTTCTTGGTCGTATATATTGTGTTTTCCCCCTTTTTATGTGCACTTGTCTTTGTAACGTTTTTTTAAGACGTGTGGCTCTGGCTGGTCAGCTAAACAGTTTTGTGTACAATAAAGAGTGAACGCCCTGGTACCTGGTCTTGGTGCAAGGTTTGTTGTTGATGGTTTTCCAGTTCTCTTTACCCTTCTCGCTGTAGTATAGATAGTAGCCCAGGATGCCCTCTTTGTCCTCGGGCTCCTGCCACTTCAGCAGCACTGAGGTGTCTGTGTCTCTGTAGGGTATTAGTGAGTGTGGGGGAGTGGGCAGGGCTAAAGAAACAAAATGAAAAAAAATATATAAATGGTAAAATTTTAACTGGTCACATTTTTATATAGTGTTTTTCCAGTTCATTCATACGCCAGTGTACACAGACACTGGGGGCAAGGAGGATTAAGTGTCTTGCCCAAAGACACAATAACAGTATTCATCAGTGGAAGCTGGAATCATACTGCCAACCTGTGGGTCAGCCGATGTACGTAGAGTACGATTCGAATTGCCAAAGTTCGGATCAGAGGACGAACACTCCAACACCAACTGGGCTACTGCTGCCTTTTAATGTACTTTATTATAACACAATATTATTAACCAGATTTATTTAAGTTGCAATTCACTGTTTCATATTAAAAATATATGTTTTTTAAGTAACCAACATTACTATAGAGAGTTGTTTGAAGGTGCACTATGTAACTTTTCTAGTGGAGGGTCTGCTATCTGCTTGTCTCCATGAAGATGCTGTACCTAGAATGTTCCAGTATGGCTTTAAATGTATCCATCTTGTATTTACTCAATAACACGGGTTTTTATTGACTTAAAAACTTGCATTCTTCTGTGAGTGAACTCGTCTTTCCAGATCTCACATGTAACTTATGGTGCCATTGCCTGAATCATAGTTTGTACAGAATTAGCTGCACTTAATTGATAAGTCCATTAAAGACTTCTGTTTCACCCCCAGCTCTAGAACAAAGGAACTGTCTAAAGCTGAGAGCAGTTCTATGAAATGAAATTGACCTCTTTCACACAGAGGTTAATGCACACACTCCATTTAAGTCCACTGTCACCTTGTGGTTTTCCCAAGGACACAGGACCACTGGCGTCAGAGGGGTCACTGACTCCATACTTGTTCACAGAGCGCACTCTGAAGTAGTACCTCCTGCCCTTGACCAGGTCAAACACTGGGAAACGAGGAGAGCTGACCACCATGTCCAGACTGACCCTCTCCCAGTTTCCACCTGCTAACGACTGAGAAAAGAAAGAGAAGCATGTTAATTATACTTGAGGTTCATTAAAGGGTTCACATTACGCTATTTTCTGATTTATGTTATAATGTTGTTTCCACATCACAAACATACTTGGAGTTGTGTTTTGTTTCATTTAATTGTGATGTGTGAGCTACTGTGTCCAAATAGTTCTGTTCTCTGTCCATTCTCTGTAAATTTTTTTATTGCACAAAAAAAAAAAAAAACTATTTTGTTGCATTCTTGAGTTGCTTGTAAGCAACAATGCACAATCTATATAACTACATTTCCTACCATAACCACCACAGTTTTTGATGGAGATGTACAATAAATGATATATTATTTTGAAATAAGCTGCTGAAGGGCAAAGGGGTTATTTGATTTTGTTTCCTTCTTTATAAAGTCAAGAGAAGCAGCAGACTCAGGCACTCCCTCATATGCCTTTGACACATCTGACAGTTTTATTACCAGAGCAACGTATGAAACACCAATAAAATTTACTTCTTTTGGCAGTTTTTAGATTATAAGGGGGGTAGTTTGGGGGACCTGTGCTGAAAAAACACCCCAAAAAACAGTCAAAATAGTAAAAAGTAGCTCTATACAGAATAACAAGAGTCAGAATAAATATCTGTAGTACAAAGCAATTGGATACCTCAAAAGCTTTCATATTTTTGTAAGATTGTTCAGTAATGTCACCAGAGCAAAGAGGTGAAATCAAAGTGTAACTCTAGCTATTCAATCTCTGTTTCATCATGTTAAAGTTATAGTTTGATTTGCTAGTTATAAATGCATAATTAATTTATACTTTAAAGGTGCACTGTGTAACTTTTCAGATCTCCATCTGCTTATCTCCATGGTGATGTTTTGCCTGGCATTAAACAAATATATCTTGCATTTATTCAATTAAATGTTTTTTTTTGTTTCTCAAAACTACCAGAAAAACATACATTCTTACTGAGAGCATGCCCACTTCTCCAGAGATCTGAGCTGTAACTTGGCCTTGTGATGTGGCCGCTTGTCTCCATGGAGATAAGAGTTAAATTAAAAGCCATACTGTAGAACATTCCAGGAAAAAACAATAACATCTACATGGAGTCAAGAATGAGGCAGACCCTCCACCAGAAAAGTTATGCAATGCACATTTAAATCGTAATATTGATTTAAAAAACATTCTGATTTCCTGAATGATTACTTTTACGGTGTTGCTGAATCCTACGTGTATGAAAAATTGACAACTATGTAAGTACAGAACAGTGATGGGGGATAGGGGAAATTTTTGGACCAGAAGTGTCATGAAGTTTAGTTTACCGTTTTATTTTAACAGGGACCATCTGCAAACACATTGATCTCACAAAAGAAGAGATGCTTTACATCAGATTTAGCTAAAGCTAGTTTCCATCTGCAGGAGAATAAAGATTACCCAAACATGCATCAGTAATCCAAACACAACTTTAAATGAGAAAGGAAAACATCACGATCAAACATGGTTAAAAGCTACTAAAAGATCAATGATCAGAGATTTAGCCTAATATGTCTCCTTTATCCTTCCTAAACGCAATTTGATTGGTCCTGGTGTTTTCTCTTAACCTTGTAGTTTAGAAAAGACATCCACAAAATTATTCTGAAATGCATGTGATTCTTGTATACTTTTTGCTGTTCATATTCTAGTCTTCTCTCAAAAGTTAATTTTCCAACACATATTTGAATAGTGTGAGTGTGAATAGAAATAATTATCGAGCCTGTTATAACTTCTTGTACTGTGATAAATCATGGTCGAGAAGAGCGCCCCCTAAGGGAATAATGTGAATGTGAGTGCACTGACCCTCTCCACGTAGTAGGTGAGGGGCTCTCTGCCTCTGGGCTCTGGGGGGCTCCAGCTCAGCACCACGTACGAGTCAGTCCTCTCACTAGCGTGCACATCGGTCGGAGGAAAAGGAACTGTCACGTCACCTAGGCAACACACAAATAGGCCTGTCACGATACTAAAACATGTTGATTAATGTGGACTGTTCCATATTTAATAAATAAACATAAACACACACGCACACAGACACACACATGCAGGAGAACAAGCCAGGCAAAGTTTACATTTTTGTATCTCAACTCTCTAAAGGGAGTTGAAATAAAAGCACTGCTCCCCTCTGTTCCAAATGTATAAAATATAGAAGTATAAGAAAAGCATTTAAAGGCCTATATTACGCTATTTTCTGATCTATGTCATAATGTTTCTTCATCACAAACGTACCTGGAGTTCTGCTTTCTTTCATTCACACAACCTATAACCACACACAACCACACACCTGCATATTTTCAGTTTGAGTTCTCTTCTCTCAAACTGAAAACACTCAGTTCCACTTTGTGATGTCATGTAGTAATACAAGAAGTGCTTCACTGTGTTTTTAAACTCCATACACCTTCACGAGAATACTTCGAATGATTTCAGGTCTGGAATTTCCTATCTCTTCTGAACAAAAGGTAAAATGTAGCTGTTAATTTGAATACTACTGCTTCATGACATCATAAGGTGGAACAGAGCATTTTAAACTTTTGAGATGTAGGCAGACTAATAATAAAGGGTTATATGTGTGAATGAAAAAAAAGCACAACTCCATGTATGTTTCTGAGGAGGTAACAACATTCTAACATGCCTTAAAGCTCACAAGAATCAATGTTGCATAAAATAAGACCTTTAAATCCTAAAACCTAAACATTTTTTAACATAATACATGCAAACTAAGCGTTTCATTCTGCATGGCACATTATAGCCTATATGCAAAATGAATACAGAGATTACTGAATCATGTAGCTATATACTCTTTATATAGATAATGGAAAAAAAAAAAAGATGAGGATTGTGATTAAACAAACCCATTTCAGTGTGACACATACAAAACCTATTATACCCTGAACCTCTACTAAAAGATGTGATAACGAAAATCAGAATTCCCCAGAGGTGCATTTGTTTTCCAGTTGCTTTCTGAAACACACACTGCGTTGTGTGTTATCTCTCTCACTGTAAGCCAGTGTGTTGCCAAGGTTATCAGGCCTCTTCATAGGCATTCAGTGCACCTTGGGCTATTGTGCACGTTTACCAACCCAACACTGGGGACTGCGCTTTGTCTGAAGCACGTGAATAGAAAAATACTAACGCAAACACACCATAGACTGTATAAAGAATTAGAGTGAGGGAAAGTGACTTCACCAAGAGCGTTTGACTCCAGTCAAATAAAAATCAAGAAGCTAGCAGTTATAGGTGTGATTTTGGAGAAAAGTTTCATAATAAGAATAGGAATTTATTAAAGAGTCTATGATAGGTTAGGCTACAAATTTTTACAAAAAAAAAATAGTGAAGATCATTATATTATAGACGTTTATTTATATTTAAGACTTTTGCAAAAACATTCACATCTGTTTTTCCAATTTGGCAATTTTTTCCGTTTAAAATTTTACTTTCAGGTTGTAAATCGTCAGCCTAATTCATCAGCCGTCTGACCTCACAGCATTAGGATTTGTTCGCTCAATGGTAGGCGAGTACTTTTTGTATTTAACCAGTTGCTGCTCTTTGGACGTGACATATGTAATGCGCCACTAACGGGGCTAACTGTTATATTAAGCTTTTCCCAAATCCCGTAAAAAGAAAGACAATAACGTGTTTCCCCTTCATAAAATTCACCAAATATTCTCTTTGTTCCGGCTTTAAATCCTCAGTCTTGGGAATCGTTGCCAACACAGAATGTATGGCTCTTCTCTGATTGGCTAGTGCCCGGACTTGCACTTCAGGGGTTCTTGCAAACCATCTAGTGCAGGGGTGTCCAAAGGGCCACATATCCACAAATTTCTGACTAGCAGTAGAAATTGATGCTGGAGAGTATTGAACCTGAGTAATGGCGCCAGTCTGGCTAGTAAATCGTGACATCACATGAGGGAATTCAATAACTGTTGACAACCAAAACTCCTCTAATACACACAGAAATGATTATCTGGCAAATACAAATATATGAAAATAACTTTATTTTGTTGAAATCATTTTTATCAGTATCAGAAAAAAAAAAAATTCTCACGTGTAAAATGTGCCCAATGTTGGGATACAAAATTCTCCCTAATGTGAATCAGTATGTTTGAACTCTCTACTTCCTGTAATTTTTAACATATTTTAAAACTTTTCTTCAAAATTTGCTTCTTGATTGGTGTAAAACTATAATTTACATTTACAATAGTTATAATTTCTTTCACTTATAATAATAATAAAAATGTGTAATCTGCACTTTAATGAAAAAAAGAGTGAAATAAAAATGCCAGAATCATGTAGAGTTGGATTAATAAACAACCAAAACAACTACAGTAGTTACAGAAAAAGGGATAACAATTTTTCAATGTAAAGTCAATTGGAGCCAGAGTCGATGTAACCGGTAGCACCCCCACATTCACTTACATTCACCGTTTGGAACATGGTGGCTAGCGGGTTAGCTGTGTTCATTTATATATACAGTCTATGAGACACACACATGCAATCACAGCAGTGTGTTGTTAAATATATAGTAAAGCTGGAGGCGTCATAAAATAAAAGCAAATACATAAAAATACACACAATATGAAACCAGAAAGCAGGGGGGTGTGCTCTTACCTTCCAGCTCATCTTTGGTGACTGTGAGTGTCCTTCCTCTGTCAACACTGACCACTAAGAAAGAGATATAAAAACCAAATCATATCACAGTAATGAAATTTTATGGGGCTCATGATAACACTATTAGGGGTAATGTAAGAGGTGAGGTGGAGCGGTGTGCAGGGATGGGGAAGGGGCTGGAGGCAAGTCAACCTTCTGTCTGTCCTTCATCTACGTTTAATGGACCACAGCAGCTGACCATCGTCCATCTGTCCTCCCAGTATCACACGATGAACCTGTATTTCATTCTAGTTTTATCTTCACCCATATTGTATTGACATAGACAGACATATATAGACGCATAGACACAGCAGATTTTTTTTAAATATAATCTTAGTATCACAAAAACATGCCAGTCCATATTTTTTTGGTAAACTGGCAGCTTGGACATTACCTCACTAACCAGAACCACAGGCTTTGAGAAAACTTCACAAAGACGAATGGATCTGGAGCTGTGTCCTATCTTGCTGATTTCACAGAGATTGACACATTGACAGGCGGATTAACCAGTGAGAAAGACACACGATCCTTTCGAGTTAAAAACAAACATAGTTGCTTACATTGCAAAAAAGCTTGGCCAAATGTAAGACATAAACACTTAAATCTATCAGAAAATGACTTAAAAGTAGTGAAATTATCTGTCCATGCAGCACAATAATTTTACTTGACAAGTTATCTTAAAATAAACTACCTCTAGACTAGAATTAATCAGTCTCAGACCTATTAAGTACATAATAAATCTGTAAACAAGATGAAAAATCTGATATATGTTTTAAAATCTTGGCCAGATCACAGAATTTGCAGTGTATCACGCAGACTGAATGCTGCTTAATGCCACCTCCTCCCTTTGCTTTCCGTGCTAAGTCACTCCCCCTTCATAGTGCTATCAGAATGCAATCAGAGTGCAGAGTGCTAATGAAACTACTGCACACTGCATCAGGTTTGTGAAGTTATAGTTTATTGTTTGGTATCAAGCATATTTATGTATTTTCCTCTTTAAGAACAAATAATATAATTACATTTTAGAATCATAATTATTCATTTTCAAGATAATCTGTAGCTGCAACAAAGTAAAAAACATTAAATCTCTTTTATGTGGAGGTCATTAACTTAGTAACTTATTCATTCAGAAAGATTTTTGTAGTTTGGTTTCTTTTTTCACAGTAATCATGATACTAAAATTTGATATTATGACAACCCTATTTCAGAGCGTAAAATGCCTTCACTACCCAGCCACCATGTTGACAAAAGAAAGTACATAATCTCATTCTACTTTAAAAATGCCCAAAAGTAATAAAAATGTCCCTTTGGCCCTAAAAGTATCATCGATGGAAATAGAAATTCTTCTTCAGTCATATTGAACAAAGCCTTGCACTTTCACACACCATTCAAATGCTCTGGCGCTATCAGCTTTATGGCAGCCCCTGGCACAATACAATGAGATCCACATCAACACATAGCAGCTGTTTTCCGTCTGCTGCTCATCTCTTTGGGCATGTAAAGTGGCACCAGAGGCAGTCAGGGTGAGTTATGGGCCAGGGTTAGAGCATATACACAAAATTAGCACAAAACTTTCTTCTCTGAGTTACCCATTTTCCTGGTGGCCTCCTGGGGGTCTTCAGTGAGGATGGGGTCTGTAGGTTTTGAAGGACGGCCAGCTCCAGCCTTGTTTACAGCACGCACTCGAAACTGGTAGTAGGCACCAGGCTTTAGCCCAAACACAGGGAAGTGGCAGGCTTTCTGGATCTGTGAGTTACAGCGGGTCCACTGCTCCTCACTGAGCTCCTTTCTGCGTAAAAGAGAAGAGGCAAAACTAGAAATTGATGCTTATCAGCTGAGGTTAACCAATTTCCTTGGGGGTGTGATGCTAACTGTAGACACTGCTCTGTGTAAAGCTCCGTTACTCAAGTTAGACTTTAATCTGAGCTTTGTTTTAAAACAATCAGACCAGAAAGAGAAAGATTTAGCTGGAACTACAACAGGTGAGATGGTTTATGGTGTTAGTCCATCAAGTCCATCTCAAATAACATTATAGTCACTCTCACCTTTTAGTTGAAAATCAAACATGTAAACTGGACTATGAATACTCATATTAATCGCAGACTCCTGAAAATGAGCTGTTTAAATTAATTTTGGATATTTTTTGGAGTTTTCAAACTATTAGTACACTAAAACATTTTTGACAGTGTTTTCTAATGTGTGCATTACGTCACCATGGTAAGTGTTTAACATTCTGCCAACAGAGATAAATGTAGAACACCCCCAGAGTGATATTACTGCAAAGCATCAATAATACTCTGCAAATGTAGTTAATGTTGTTGCAATGATTTAGAATAGATACATTTCCTAACCTCCAATATTTTATAATCCTTGTTTTGGGTGTATTTCTTGACAACATCTTGCATTGCATTTCTTAGCCTGGTTGTCTCAGAATCTGTATTGCTTTTATTTTCAGTTGAGTAAAAAATGAAGTAATTGTATTTGAAGTAACAAACAAAAAAAATCTTACCCAACTGCCAGATTATTTTGCTTGAAAAATAACAAAACACATATCTTGTGGTTACAGAAAGAGAAAACAAAAGCACTTTTTTCCCCAAAAGTTTGAGAGCCCAAAACACATTACACATGATAACAAAAATGAAACAATGAAAGCTCACCATCTAGTTGTCAAAACTCAAGAGCTATCTATAATTCTGAGCCAATTCCATCTTGTGACAATAAGAAGCTTGTGCACACAGAGGTTTTACAACACACTGTGGTGTTAAAGGAGGGAGCTGTGATGGAAGAGTGTGGCAGTAAACAAAAGACTTAAAAAGGCCGGACCTGGGCAAGCGTAAGGTGTTGCTAGGGAACAGAGAGGTATCAGGCAATTTTCCTGTTTCACCAAAATCAACATAGTCTCTGTTGTGTGCAAGAACAGATATAAAAAAAAAAGCAGGTACAGCTATTTAAAACATGTATTATTTATATCATTTTAAAGGGTCCATAATACGCTGTTTTCTAATCTCTATTATTATTATTATTATTATTATTATTATTATTATGTTGTTTCCCCCCACAAACATACCTGGAGTTGTGTTTTGTTATATTCACATATGTTTAACACATAAACCCTGCATATTTAGGCTGTAAACTCTTCTCAAATGGAAAAGACTTCCACCTTGTGATGTCATGATGTAGTAATACAGGAAGTGCTGTACTTTGTTTTTAAACTCCATATACAATCACTAGAATCATTTGGATAATTTCAGTCCTGCAATTGCCATTTTCTACTGAAGAAAAGTTAAAATGTAGTTGTTAACTTGAAAACTACTGCTTCATCACAATGGATAACAGAGCATTTTGAGCTTTGGAGATGTAGACTGACTAATAATAAAGTAATAAAGGATTACTAAAATGTGTGAAGGAATCAAAACACAACTCCAGGTATGTTTTTGATGAAGTAACAGCATTATAACATGGTTTATGGCTCACAAGAGTGCATAATCTAGGATTTAACAGGAGAATGAAATTACATGGACTGCACAGAAACCCTAAATTACAACCAAACTGATCACAAGTGTACAAGTGTGTTACTGAAAATATAGCACACACAGTAAAGTGCACTTCATACCTCTCCACATGGTAGCCCTCCACAAATGAGCTTCCATCAGCACTGGGTGGTTCCCAGGTGAGGAACACATAATCCTTGTTGATGTCTGATACTTGGACATTCAGAGGAGAGCCCGGACCCCCCTGCACTATGGCTGCTGCATCTGCAATGTACAGCAAAGACAACTGCAAAATTGATTCTTGTAAACTTCAAAACATGTTATAATGTAACCTCATCAAAAACATACCCGGAGTTGTGTTTTTTTGGTCACACACATTTGAGTAAGGATTACTCAAATGAGAAGGATTACTCAAATGTGTGTGACCAAAAAAACATTATTATATTATTAGTCTGTCTACATCTGCAAAGCTCAAACTGTTCCACGTCGTGATGTCATGTAGTGGTAGTTCTGAAGTTAACAGCTATTGTTTACCTTTTGTTTAGTAGAAATTGGCAATTCCAGGGCTGAAATTATTCTAGTGAAGGTGTATGGAGTCTATAAACACAGTGAGTCGCTTTCTGTATTACCACATGACATCACAAAGTGGAACAGAGTGTTTTCTGTTTGAGGGAAGAACGCCTAAATATACAGGGTCTGTGTGTTAAACTTGTGTGAATGAACAAAAGGAAACACAACTCCAGGTATGTTTTTGTGGAGGTAACAGGATTATAACATGGCTTAAAGTTCCCATGAGTGAATTTTTCATAATATAGAACAGACATGTCAGACTCAGGTCTGGGGGCCAAATTAGGCTCGCAATATAATTATATAGATCATATCAAATATTTACTAGAGCTGGCCCGCTGGCTACAGACAGGCTATAGAGACATTATTTATTTAAAATTTTGTTATTATTTAATATTCTGCTTGTTCTGGATTCAACATTACGTATCTCAAAAGAAGAGAAAACATGCAGATGTTGTGGAAGTTTTCTATAAATATTTAGTTCAGCCCATAACTTAGACCCATTTTTAAATTTTGGTCCTCTGTGAATTTGAGTTTGACACCCCTGATATAGGACCTTTAATTCATTGTGAATTATATGCATTTTTATGATATGAAAATCACTGTATATATGCTCTTATATACTTACCTTTATATCTCATTCATATTATAATGTAAATATGAAGCATGATTAGATCTAACTACAGTATCCATTATGTTCTGCATAATTCCCTCTATAGGCATCATATATCTTTTCTGTCAGTGAATATTGACGTTATAGTCTTTCCACAGCTGTCCAGACACATTTCAAATGTTGATGAGTCGAGTGGGAGTTTTCAGCCTTATTTGCATTCAGAAGAGAATGAGTGTCAGGAAATAGCAGCCTGAAGAATATATGGTCTCAGTGAACAAAGTTAACAAGCTCTCCACTGCAGAACTACTTGATTGATGGCGCAATTTCCCCATATAAATCAGAAGAGTGCGCTAACAGGAAATGAAAGCACAACCAAAATCCGGTGAACACAAACAGACTTTCTACAGAGAAGTTCAATCAAGGCACCATTTACTCAGCCTGGGACAAGTGATATAGCAACGATAAGAGTACATATGTTTTTGCAAAGGATCAGGCGTGGAGGCAACCAACAATCACTTTTGTCACTATGCACGGTTGTACATTTTAAATTGAAATGACTCCAAACAATGAATGTGTATTTGAGCATTTTGGACCAGGTTAGAATTAGTGATAAGATTACTTCTCTTGTTTCATGACATTTTAGACTGGTTTTGATAATTTAGCTTAAAATAAAACATATTTGGCAATGGGGCTAAACCGGGACTAAACTGGGACTAAACCAAGACTTAACCAGGACTAAACCAAGACTAGAAGGGGTCCATCACTAGTCCCTACAATTCCAAATGGTAACCAAGACTGAACAGGGTTATACCGCACTGGAAGATATAGGGAATATTTTGAAATCAGTTAAAGCATAAAAAAAAATTGTGTCCATCAATTAAAACTTAAACTAAACTTGTCAAAATGAATTATATGATTGAATTAAACTGAAAATACAGGATTTAAGTCAATAGAGCCATTTTATATGCTTGCTGTTTATATTGTACTCATCAATGTTGACCGATCAGACTAAAGTAATGATCTAAAGTATTGGTTTGTAATGAATGCTTTTGTTAAAATAAATGTATAAGATAACACAGGGACAGTTTCTACATTTAAGACGAGGCTTAAAGGGCACATACGCTATTTTTTGATCTACTATAATGATGTTTCCTCTCACATTTAATGCACAAACTCTGCATATTTAGACTGAGTTATTTTCCCAAACAGAAAACACTGTGTTCCATCTTGTGATGTCATGTTGTAATACAGGAAGTGCGACCCTGCATTTTTGAACTCCACTCACCTTTACTAAAATCATTTGGATGATTTTAGCCTTAGAATTCAGCCTTAGTCTCTACAAAACAAAAACTTCACTGTTAACTTGAAAGCTACATGACATCACAAGGTGGAACAGAGCATTTTGAGCTTTAGAGATGTAGACAGACTAATAAACTTGGATTATTCAAACATGTGTGAATGAAACAAAACACAACTCTGAGTATAAGTAATTGAGTCAAAATCTGACTCCAGATTATTTCCCTTGTGGATCAATAAAGTTTGTCTAAGTATGTTTTTGATGAGCCATTCTAACATGGCTTAAAGCTCACAAGAGTCAATTTTGCATAATAGGACCATAAAATCAATCATCCTGCTGTTTTGTGATTTTGGGCTGTATAAACATGAACTGAATAGAGAAATGCTACAGTTGTACTCACCTTTGACATAGACAAAAGTACTGCGTTCCTGTATTCCAGACCTCGTCCTGAGATGAACAGTGTAGACCCCTTCGTGCTCCTTGTGCATTGGCTCTAGTATCAAGGTGGCCAAGTTGCTGTCAGTCTTCATATTCACCGTTTTAGATGGCTCCAACTGTACCCCTACAAAACCAACCAAATAAATAAAAGAAAATATTCAGTCATCCAGTTAGCTGCTTGTAACAGAATATAAAGGTTTTATACCATCTTTGAACCAGGTGACGTCCTGTTGGAAGGGCAGGAGTGGACAGGTGAAGGTGCACTGCAGAGTGAGTCTCTCTCCCTCAGTCACCCAGGTTGGACAGAGGGCACAGGCAAACTGGGCTTCTGGTTCTAAACATATAAATAAAGCAATGACAGATATTTAAAGAAAGTGGCGAATATAGAGGAAATATAATATACACAAAATATATGGAAAGATTTTATTTAAGGATGTATAAAAATTAAAGACTACAATACTGTCAATACTCAATACTATCTCACCAGCTTTTAGTTTAAACTCCAAATGTCGATATGTGATGCCACAGTAAAGTCAAAGGGACCTAATAAAAGCGAACCAAGACTGTGAGAGAGTGTATGAGATTCTTCTTAATAAACTCTAGGTAATATTTATATGGCCGTTTCTACTTCTTTGGGCAAGTTACAGAAGTAAAGTCCATTTGTTTTTTGGCAAAAAAGTAAATATAACATTTTTCTTGCTAATCATATAATGAATATAATATATAATGGAAACTTTAAACCACAAAGTTAGAGAGACATTTAGCCCAATTTTAGATTTTAAATATGTTTTTGGACTAAAAACAATTGTGTCTTGGATATTAATTACTTTGCTCTTAATGTTAACTGAACAGTAGTTATTTATGTCCTGATTTGCATTGTGGTTTTAATGACTTTCTTATTCTGTAAAGCACTTTGAATTTCTTTGTGTATGAACTGTGCTGTACAAATAAACTTGCCTTGCCTTACCTAGTTGGCCATGCCTTTTGTAAATTGACTTAAACAACCTCAGCGGGTGAAGACTGTTAAGTAGGCCTGTCACGATTATTATTATATCAACTAATCATTCCATACATGAGAGCTGGAAGAATATGCCTTAGGGCTTAATATTTCTCCTGTGTACAATTCCTTTGTAATAGTGGTGAGATTTTTGCTATTTTAGTTGTAACACGATAAGATCTGAGCTGTAGATAACTGGCTAAGTAACTCCTAGAACAAATTTTTGGTTCAATCTGCTATTTATTTGTTGCAGTTCATGCCTTTTTATGATACTGCCTATTTAAAAATGGTTTACTGGGATTATCCTGCTTTATGTCAGGTCCATGAAGTAGTTTTTTATTGAAATGTTTCCCTGTAGCAATATATTATGCTTCAAAATGTTACAGTTCAGCTGCATGGACACCTCCTGAAGACAAGCAGACAATGTAAACAACATATATATATATATATATACATTATTAATCATTACATTACTATTATGTGAATATGATGGATTCTCTGTCAGATATTGAAGCAGATAAGGTGTGTTTTTCTTTACTCGTTCTGACAGTTTGTTTGTGACACTGGCTCCTCGTTTTCCCCTTTAAGCTGCTTTAACAAGCTCTTCCTTCACACATCTCTCACTTTAGAGCAGGAGTGATGGCAAACCACAGACTCCTAATTAACCAAAGGGACGATCTGATCCAAACTGGCACTGGAGACTAATCCAGAGACACATCCAGGAGAGGCCTTCCCCAGGGCTACATTAAACACACTGGAGACTGCCAAAGCTGAGAACCAGACTACTATTCTGAACAATTCATGACAACTTATTTCCTTAGTGCCAGCAGTGTCCAGCGTGTCCCAGTGAAGTCTTAAAGGTGCATTAAGTAAGTTTTCGGTGCGGGGTCCGTCATGTGCTTGTTTCCATGGATATGTCATTGCTCTGCCTGGAATGTTCCACAATATGACACTAAACAGCTCTACTTTACATTTATTCTATTTCAGGGGGTTTAATAGCTCAAAAATAGCTAGAAAAACAGACATTCTGACTGTGAGCATGGATTGCCTCTCCACAGATCTGACCTGTAACTTGGTCTGATCTGGTCTCCATGATGATAAAAGCGTTTAACATCATACTGGAGAAAAACATTTGACGGACCCTCTACCAAAAAAGTTATACAATGCAGCTTAACAATCTGAAAGTAGAGGTGTAACAATGTACAAATTTTATGAGATGAGCTTTAGTTTTAAAAAAAAAATCATTGTCACTGTCTCGATTAATAACACCCAGAACTTACACCTCCCTTTAAAGGTACATTGTGTAACGTTTCTGGCGGAGGGCCCGTCAGATGCTTTTCTCCATGGAGACATATTGATTTGCCTGGAATGTTTCCCAGTATTGCATTAAATTTAAACCAAACCAGCCCAAGTTATAGGTCAGATCTGTGGAGAGGCAACCTAACTCACAGTCAGAAAGTCTGTTTTTCTAGCTATTTTTGAGCTATAAAACCACCTGTAATTGAACAAATGTAAAGTAGAGCTGTTTAAAGTCATACTATGGAACATTCCAAGCAGAGGAGTGACATCTTCATAGAAACAAGCAGGTGTGGACCCCCAACCAAAAAGTGACATAGTGCGTCTTTTACAATATGGAAGTAGATATGTAACATTGTACAAATCTCGTGAGTCAAGGAATAGATTTTTAAAAACTTTTCTTAATTATTAACAACAACACGAACATCTCACACGGTCTGTCTTTAAATAGATGTTATGTTTGTGAAGATTAAGTAGCTTACTTCACCAAACTGAGTAATTTATATTTTAATGAACTAATTCAACAGTACAATAATACATTTCTTAATTTACTTAACAAAGACATAAACTGAGTCTCTCAAAAGCACAACAAAATCGAGTGACAACTAAAAAAGAGACACAGTTAAAACTAAATTAACAAACAAGGGTCTCATAAACAGAGTCGCCATGGTGACAGACACATATTACACAGACTAGACAATGCCTCTTTTAAGAGTCAAGCACAGAGACTTGACAGAGCCACATGGTAACCCACAAAAATGGCAAACTGATCACAAAGACCAGAAGCCCAGAATGGAGCAGGAGGAGCTGCAGCAGATGTGGTGACAACATGCTGCTCCAACTTTAATGGTGGATGGTACACTCAGTGATGTATTATAACACCATCTTCTGGGTAGTTTTACTCTTAGTGCTGTGTAAATACTTTGACAGTGTTAAAAAACATATATAAAGTCTCTTGACCATTCCATTTTACACCAGTGTCTTTATACAGTTAGCCGAGTGTAAAACTCTCTCTCAGCATATGTCCAAATCTTCACCAGTGAGACTCCCTTGAACAAATGAGGCACAACGCTTCAAAACTCTCCAAACCCAAATAAATGCACATTTCATTTCAGTAGCAATTTATCTTGAATCGTGGGGAGGTGCAAAACTGAGTGTTAAGGCAAAGGAAAGAGAGGCGTTTTGGAAAGGCCCCTCCAATCCATCACAAGAGCTCACACAGCCAGAATTCCATGGTAGAAAAACAGACAAAAAAGAGACAGAGCCTGGGGCCTAACAACCCAAACGATTATGCAATTTATGACTCAGGGACCATTCAATAGAACTAGTTAACAAGCAGAAACTGTCTGAGGGGAGGAACAAACGGCACCAAAACTAACACGCCTTTATGTGTACAGATATAAAGTAGTGTTCACCTGCAATTTGACCAGAAACTAGGATAAAATAAAAAACATTGAGTGCATTAAACATAAATAAAAATCAAAAATAGACTGAATATATACAAAATATAGAATATAAATAATCTTTGCATATTACAGTTGCTTCTGAAATAGCCACAGTTTTTACATCTGTCCTAAATTCTTTGTGACGCTTGACTGATACATTTTATTTTAAGGACCTCATCAATTCCCATCCTGTCCCAGATGTTTTTTAATGGTGTTATTCCAGTTTATAGCCATAATAAAACACAGACCTGACTCGTGCTTCCCATCCGTCCCTCCACACGGAGCTGATTGTGATGAATCCACACAGTTGTGCTTTTGTATATCAAGTGATTTGTTTGGGAAAATCTGTTCTGCTCCATATAAGACAATCACAGCCCGGCTACATTAAAATGGCAGCAGGCAGTTCCTTAGCCCATTTTCACAGCGAGCGAGCCCTGATGCTTAAATGCAGATAAAGCAGCGTTCAAAATAATTGGCACTTAATTTTCAAAGCGTGGGGCAGTGTACTTGATTTGTTAGCAAACACACTCAAATAAATGCAATGAGATGAAGTGAAATCAGAGATGACCAAACGTTTAAATGAGCAGTTCTTCTTGTTTATGAGTGTGTTAATAGTTTTGGTTATACATAGTGGTGGAAGGTAAAGAAGTAAAAGTAGTAATGTACAGTACTTAAAGGTCCATTGTGTAGTTGTGTAGGTGCAGGGTCCTTCAAATTCATTTCTCCACAGAGATGTTATTGCTTTGTCTTTGTATCACAGTATGGTATTAAACCGTTCTATCTTCATGGAGACCAAACCAGACCAAGTTACTGATTAGATCTGTGGAGAGGCAACCCCGCTCACAGTCAGAATGCCAGTTTGAGCAGTAAAAAAGAAACTGCACTGATAGAACCATCCTAAAGCTCTATATTTCCTATTTGCGTTAACAAAACACCCCCATGGAAACAAGCAGGCGTCAGCTCCCCCACCAGAAAAGTTACATAGCGCACCTTTAAAAATAAACAGAGCACTAGAGATGGTAAAGATATGCGGCAATCGTGCCAAAGTGGAGAACACGCTGATGTCCTATACTTGGTAATCTAGGCCAGAGTCACGCTTAAGATGATCTGAAAATGCTCCGCAGCTTGACGTCAAACCATCTCAGGAATGAAAAATACATGAGCTTCTTTTCCGCTCAATTGGACGCCATGTTTCTCTCTCTCGCTTCCCCTCAAGCACCATTCTTCTGCAGTCTTACCTAAACCCCTACATGCACAGACACAGCCAAGCGTACACAGATATCAAGTGCTATGACAAACAAACACTGTCTAACTCTCACATTTCAACAGTGATGGATGAAGTACTCAGTTTTGCTACTTAATAAAAGTGCATTGTGTAACTTTTCTGGTGGAGGGTCCGTCAAATGCTTTTCTCCTTGGAGATGTTATTGCTTTGTCTGGGACGTTTCACAGTATGGTATTAAAACTTTTTATCTTCATGGAGACCAAAACTAGATCAATTTACAGGTCAGATCTATGGAGAGGAAACCCCGACCAGAAGTAAAGTAAAGATATAATAAAAAAAAGCACTTGGTTGTGTCCATGGAGAAATATGCATCCTACCATAAGCGGGCAAACCTCTCCACGAATCGGACCTGTAAATTGGGACGCCGCTTGTCTCCATGGAAATAGATAAGCTTTATATGATACTGTGAAAAAGTCCAGGCAAAGCAACAACATTTTCCTCCACCTGGAAAATTACACAACGCCCCTTTAAATATTGTACTTTTACCAGAAGTAAATATTGTACTTTTACCAGAAGTAAAAGTACAATATTTAAAGGGGCGGAAGGTGACCAAGTACAGAATACTTGGTCACCTTCCGCCACTGCACTTCAATCAGTCCGCATATAGCCGTACATGTTCATTTGTCAGATAGCGCGACGACAGGCTTCAAAGCGAGACCCCTCCTTGATTTCGCTGTAGGAGGTTGTGGCTTCAAAGGGTGGCGGAGAAAATTAAAGGGGACACTTTTCATTAGGGCCGGGCGTGTGACTTACCGAAGGTCTGTGAACGCTCCGAACCAGAGGTAGCTCCTTGAAAGGCTGGATGGTGGAGCAGTAGAGCACGACAGATTGTGGTGGACCAGATGGGGGTCCGAGATGGGAGCCGAAAGGCAGAATGTGATTGGATGAATTGAAAGAGAAAGGAGGTAAAAACAGAAGACAAATTACATGTGGCACAGTTTTTTTTATGCAGGTCACATCAAATATTCTCTTGGAGCTATTAATAACAGCAGGAGTCTTCAAAGTCTGAATGGCGAGAGCAAGCCTTAAACAGTATAAATAAGTGGTATTGGAATAGATAGAAGCTAAGTTCTGCTTGAAAAGTTCTATATTACACAGAACTGACTCTTGTGAGCTTTTAGCCATGTTATAATGTTGTTACCTCCTCAAAAACATACCTGGAGTTGTGTTCTGTTTCTTTCACACATGTTTGAGTCCTTTATTATTAGTCGTCTACAACTCCAAAGCTCAAAATGCTCTGTTCCACCTTGTGATGTCATGATGCAGTAGTTTTCTAGTTAACACCTCCCTTTCACCCTTTGTTCAGTAAAGACTGGCTGATCCAGGGCTGAAATTATCCAAATGATTCTAGTGAAGGAGTGTGGAGTTTAAAAACAGAGTATAACACTTTCTATGTTACCACTTGATATCATAAGGTGGAACAGAGTTTTTTTCAGTTTGAGAGAAAAACTCAGCCTAAATATGTAGCGTTTGTGTGTTAAACATGTGAATGAAACAAAACACAACTCCAGGTTTTTTATGAAAAAACATTATAACATAGAACAGAAAATAGTCCAATATATCTTATGGACAGGGTTTGTAGAGCTTTGCAAAGAAAAGATTAATATAAATGTTATTTCTTCACAGCTGAGTTTGGTGGAGACCCTCATAGATTCTCTGTCAGATTTGGCATAACACAGTCAGCCCCCTAAGGGCTGAACATTCTGCTAGATCTACATGATTATATAAGGCATAAAAAAATGACCTAATAAAGTACATTAATGGAAATACAGATATGTGAGTCAGACAGGTGCCCAGATTTTAGCTCTTTCATCTTGCACAGAAGCAGCTGCATATTTTTAGCTGGGGGCTTTGTCATTATTACAGATATGGATTTTGCTAATAATATCTGATGGTGCTTCATAACATCATAATGATGTTGAAATGTAGACGCACAGAAACTCAGACATAACAAAAAATACACCCACTCCACAGCAGTTGGGTCTAGGAGTGTATAATATTGAAAAAAATGTTGTGTTATAATTCTTTGTTAGTAAATACAAAAACATGAAACAAAATGGCTATAAGCTTCTATTGATGCAACAAATACTGTGTTCACATTTTGAGAAAGACAGGATGATATTTCAGATCAGAACTATTGTGACCTTGCCTAAAAGACAGGCCACTTCATATAACTGATCACAAATCTTTTATAGCTTTGCAGTGAAATAAAATAGTGGATAATATAGTTGCAATTTCAAATCGTGTAATTTGGGCAAAATGATCAAAATTGGTTCTACACATCAAACAAAAAATATATCGGAAGATCTTATCAGCCAACTGCCATGAGAAAATGGGTTGATTTCTACTCAAATCTATGTATGTACAATGTAAATGGTGCATGTGCAGCTTACATTATGCATGCACATATTTAAACTAAATCACTGAAGCTGAAAATTAGTTTTGAGAGGGCCAATATTTTCTGATCCAAGTTATAATGTTGTTTCCAAATCACAAACACACCTGGAGTTTTGTTTCATTCACACATATTTAATAAAAATGTTTTTCTCTCAAACTGAAAACCTCCACGTTGTGATGTCATATAGTGATACAGAAAGTGCCCCACTGTATTTTTTAAACTCCATACACCAGGGGTGTCAAACTCAAATTCACAGAGGACCAAAATTAAAAACTGGCACCAAGACGTGGGCCAAACTAAATATTTATTGAAAAATTTCAACAAAATCTGCATGTTTTTTCTTCTTTCGAGATATGTAATGTTAAACCTTTTCTTATTAAAAAAAATGTTTATAATAATAATAATCTTTGCTTAAGAGCAGAACAAGCATAATATAAAATAATAACAACATTTTAAATAAATAATGTTTATATAGCCTATCTGTAGCCGTCGGGCCAGCTCTAATACATATTTGAAATAATCTCGCAGGCCAAATATGGCCTGAGTTTGACAAGTCTGCCATACACCTTCAGTAGAATCCTTTAAAAGGTAGCTGTTAACTTGAAAACTATCACTACATGAGCCATGACATCACAAGTTGGAACAGAGCATCGTGAGCTTTGGAGATGTGCAGTAGACAGACTAATAAACTAATAAAGGACTGAAATATGTGTGAACTCCAGGTATGTTTTCAATGAGGTAGCCAACATTATAACAATGCTTAAAGCTCACAAGAGTCAATTTTGTGTAATAGACCATTAAAATCTGATTCAACACAACACTTTTGTGAATGTGAACCCAAGCTTGTATTTTTTACAAGATGACGAATAAAAGAAGAGACTCACAGTTGACCACGAGTGTTGCGAAAGTTGTAGCTTGGCCCAGTGCGCTCTTGGCTATCACTTTGTACTTGCCAGCGTCAGCAGGGGAGCACCTTGGGAGGAGATATAGGATTTATGAGCTGTGTAAAACAGTCTGCTTATATTTCAACACATGTAGTCTAATGGGAGCACACAGCAGCAGTTAATTGTGGGCTATTAATCTAACCAGACCACTCAACATAATAACTAAAATGCATTCATGATTCTATAGTAATGTGGTAATCTGTTTTCTTAGTTGGACATCTACATTTGAACTTGCGCTGCACTTACCCCAGACATTTTTATTTCAGGTAGGTAAAGTCAAACTTTAATCACACCTGTTATATTACCTTCTGATTTCCAGGGTGCACACGCCATATTTCTGTTCGGGAGTATAATTCCAAGCATGGTGAGGGCATCTGAGTGGAACCCCGTCCTTAAACCTGAAGTCAACAGTTAAAAATAGATCACAATAAGTTTTGACTTTGTGAATATCTTAGGTTTTGAAAAACTTTGTTGATCCACAAGGGAAATTATTTAGACACAGTAGTTCACACATCACCATATATTATAATAACAAAGAGCAACAATATAAATGGTAATAATAACTTAAAGGCGCATTCGGTGTGTGGAACGCTTTTCTTCCTGGAGATGTTACTGCTTTATGTGGAATGTTTCACGGTCTGGTATTAAACCTTTCTACCTTCACAGAGACCAAGCCAGACCAAGTTACAGGTCAGATCTGTGGAGACGCAACCCTGCTCACAGTCAGAATGCCTGTTTTTCAAGGTATTTTTGAGCTTTTAAAACCACCTGAAATCGAATACATGTGAGGTAGAGCTGTTTAATCTTACTGTGGAACATTCAAAGCAGAGCAGTGATATATCCATAGAAACAAGCAGATCATGGTCCTCAACCAAAAAGTTACAGTGTATGTTTAAATATGGTAAAATTATATAAATGTATATTTACAAGTAAAAATAAAATGCAGAAATATAGTAATACAAATTTATCTTAGCTTTATACAAGAGGTAGTAAAAGAAACAGAGCAAAGTTGAAATAGTGATTGGCAAGACATGGGGTTATCTGTAACATAAGGGTGAGTTGTTGTACACTTGTAGGGAGTATTATCTGTTACATAAGGGTGAGTTGTTGTACAGTTGTAGGGAGTATTATCTATTACAAAATGGTGAGTTGTTGAACAGTTGTAGGGAGTATTATCTGTTACATAAGGGTGAGTTGTTGTACAGTTGTAGTGAGTATTTTCTATGGCATAATTGTGAGTTGTTGTACAGTTGTAGGGAGTATTATCTATTACAAAATGGTGAGTTGTTGTACAGTTGTAGGGAGTATTATCTGTTACATAAGGGTGAGTTGTTGTACAGTTGTTTTGAGTATTTTCTATGGCATAATTGTGAGTTGTTGTACAGTTGTAGAGAGTATTATCTGTTACATAATGGTGAGTTGTACAGTTGTATGGATTATGGTATGAATGTAGTCTCTCACTGTTTGAGGGGAGCTGTAGGAGCCTGCTGAAGAATGAGCTCCTCCGTCCCTCTACAATCTGGTGCAGTCAGTGAATATTAAAATTATAGAGAGAGAGTGTTCCTACGCCTGCCTCCTTATTACGTATGCAGATATCGACCAAATCAAATGTTAGTTCAGTTGAAAGGGCTGCATGGCTGTGAGGTTATGATCAGTGAGTCTGTGTTGTGTGGGGTTTTGTTTGGGGGCAGTGTATGCGTCTCACTGGGCTGGTTGGGTCCCATATGAGCTCTTGAAACTGGGAGCTGCAGGTTATATGTTCTCTGCTGAGCTTCATGAATACTGAGCGTAGTCTTTTCATCTGCCTCTGTCACACAGGCTCAAGTATCAAGGTCAGCAGCAGATCAGCACCGGGCCAGGATTAACATGGGACATTTTATATTAATACGTCTCCATGTTGTTCTGGGCTATGTTTATCCACACTTTGTACCCGCAGAGTAAACATACTGGTATATGGCTTGGATATGGCTTGCCTGGGATGTTTCACAGTATGGCATTAAACACATATATTTTGTATTTATTCAATTATGTCTGTTTTTATTTCTCAAAACTACAGCAAAAACAAGTATTAATAACATGAGTGGGCTCATTTCTCCACAGATCTGACCTGTAACATAGCCTGGTGATATGGCCTGCTTTTCTCCATGGCGTTAAATTAAATGTCATATCGTAAGGAAATAGGAAATCAAACAAACAAATAAACAATCTATATGAACTCAAGAAGGTTTCGCACCATATTCCAGAAAAGTTACACTGTACACCTTTAAACAAACATTTCAATCGTGGGACATGAGTAAGTTGAATTCCAGATAAATTTGTGTCTTTTAGTCATATATTAAATAGCGGATACACTGGTTTTATGGGTATTGTTTTTCCTAAGATTAAAATAGCTCATTGAGAGTTACACAATCCAGAATAATTCCCCTCTCTTTTGCAACACTAGACAAACTGAACACTACAGAAAGAGATTGCTGCTAGTGATAGGCCATTTTGTACTGAACTGTGACCTTTTACCAACAGATGGTGCCACAAAGAGACATTTTATCCTCATCTTTCTACAGCTTTAAATGAAACTGTGATTTGCTTAATTTAATTAATTTATAAATTATCTGCTGGCATTTATCTGCTGGCATTTATTAATTAATCCTTGAATTTATATAGCGCCTTTCAAGACACTGAAAGTGCTTTATAGTGCATTATTCATTCACTCCACACTTGGTGGTCAGCTACTATTGTAGCAACAGCTGCCCCGGGACAGACTGATGGAAGTGAGGCTGCCAATCTACACCATCAGCTCCTCCAACCACCAGAAACACTCACACCACATTTATAGCAGGCAATATGGGTGAAGTGTCTTCTATCTAAGTATTAAGCAGGCCCAGCCCTGCTTAACTTTTGAGATTTGAAGAGATTAAGCTGTTACAAGGAGGTATGGCACACTGATGCCATTATTTAACACACCACACTGTAATGTGCTCAGTCATCTCCAGTCATCCAATCTCTCAAGTTCCAGATAAATGTACTTGGACATACATGCATATATGGTCATACACACATATAACACTTTTCAAAATAAAATAATATAAATAAATCTTACCATGTGATCTTAGGAGGAGGATAGCCCTGTACAGTACATGTGAGCACAACTCTCATGCCCTCCCAGACCGTGTGAGAGCGCAGGGGGATGATGAAGTCAGGGGCCCTCCTCCTCAGAGCTTCGAGGTAATTTCTCTGAGCTGCTACCTTCTCTTCTCCCTGAAAACATGATTATATTATCAGCCCAAAGTGTAAACAAATGGACTACATAACCCATTTTAATACAAACCCTATTTCGAAGTGCTATCTTGTCCACTCGACTGCGTAGAATGAGGCGGGTCTTTGAGACATCTCGCTCCATCTTCTCAGCCTCGTTCCCAAATAAAGTCCACTTCATTCTGCGGTACTCTTTATGGGCCATGTCCTTCATGATTTCCCTGTGATAGGCAAATGTATAAATAATGTACTATAAACACGGTCATCTAGATCTGGATCATCACATTCTTTGTTTTGACCAACTTCCTGCTAAAAATACCCATAAAGCTTTATTTGAACACTTTAGTGTAGAGAGATAAAGCCATGAAGTGTGACTATACAGTTCTCTTTTAAGTTTGAGGTTGAGGTTTGGGGAAAATAATATTTGTTTAAGTTTAAATTGCACAAAAAGCTAATACAATATTTTGTATTTTGTAATTAGAACAGGATTTCCAATTATTTAAAGGTACACGTCTAACTTTACTGGAGGGGGTCTGCAGCCTGTATCCCTATGGAGATGTTAGGGCTTTGGTTTAAATTGTCCACAGTATGGTATTAAACTTGCATTTATTCAATTGCAGGTGTTATTTATTGATCAAAAACTTCTTAAAAACATAAATTCTTGCTGTGAATAGGGTTGCCTCTCCACAAATTATAGAGTGCACTTCTAATTTTCTCTCCTTTGGTTCTGGGTGAGCCATGGCTTTATCATGGTTTAAATCTACTACACAAGTGTGCTCTGTATTGTAAAATCAGCTCTTTGCAACAAAAAGTCTGCATCTAATAATTAAGTTGTTCCCTATGAAGTGTTCTGCCTATGTGCGTCCTTTGAGTGTTGACAGTTCAAAGTGCACCTCTGTCGCGTTGGTGGGTGACATCTTTGCCTTTAGTTTTACTCGTGTTGGTTGTCATGGAGATAGCAGCCAGGTTTTGGAAGCAAGCAATTGTTATTTTTCCCTTCATCTCCAAAGACAGCTCGCATAAGTAGGACAAACTCAGGTTCATGACTTCTTGCTGACTGTTTCTCACACTAAATCTGCACCAGCTGAGCCCAAGAAGAAGAAGAAGTGTTTAATAAAATGAGCCCCCTACAAACTTTGCTTGTGAAATAGTTTTTATAAGCAATTAAATGGTATATATGGATGCCTGCCTTCTTTATTGCAGTAATGAAATTCACATTCTTTACGTCTTATGCCTGGTTAGTGCTGCGATCTTTTTGCATAGTGTTACACATATTGCGAGTAGTGGCTGCCTTATAAACAGCTTCTTTAACTCCCCTCACTCTACGTGTATGATTGTCACCCAGATGCTCACATGCACATCCCTAACACAAAAACATACACTAATATACTAATAAACCAGGGTACTTTTGTTTGTTGATATATTATTATTACTAGATATATACACTGCATGTCATTTAAACTGTAATTTTTATATTTATGGACCCCCCAAAGGCAATCACATGGTGGAAACTAATCCAAATGAAGAGCAAAAAGAAAAGAATGGCTGAAACTAAATAACTGCTAAACAAAATGTGACTAAAATGAAATAAAATGTTGCCATTATGCACACGGCACTACGCAGTGAATGACCATAATATAGGTTTTAAAAAGAGAAGAAAATATCTTCTGACACCATGCTTTTCTAGTGCAAATATATACGCAAAAATAAACTTAAAATTGTGTTAAAGCTTGTGTTTTGAAGCGTGCAGGCTCAGAATTATAAACCCCAGAGGAATGAAGTGCCAAAACGCATCCAGCCGCCGACCATCACACAAGATTACTTTTTTATCACTCATTTTGCACGTTACATTCTGCTGAAAAACCCACCGAAGATGTAGCCTCAATCTGATAGACGAGATAATAACACGCAATTGAAAGCACGCACACAGATCAAGTCATTTCATTTTCATACAAATCAAAACAGATGTCATGCTCTCCCTGTCCTGAAATGGGGTGCCAATCCTCAAGAGCTTTTGACTCCATCCTTCCGTCCCCTCTCTAAGCCAAGAAGTCAATTATGTCAAGTGTAACAAGATTTGCAGCTCTCAGCCCAAAATGCTCTTAGTATTCTGCTTGGTTTTGTAGCGTCTTGGAGATGTCTCTGGGCGAGGTCTGGTCTGAAGGTAAGTTCTGATGGAGGAGACGTGTGTGTCAGCGCTAGGGCCGGGAATCACAGGGTCCCTCGTGATTCGATAAGATGGTTGGGTCTCCATAAAGATAGAAAGGTTTAATACCATACTGTGAAACATTCCAGATGAAACAGTAACATCTCCGTGTAGAAAAGCATTTGACGGACCTTCCACCAGAAAAGTTACACAATGCACCTTTGAATAACTTTACTATGCATTTTTCATCAAAGCAACACATGGTTAATTTGAGAATATGAATATAAAATATATAAACAAAACAAGGTATTTCACTTTTTTGTTACATCACTCCATTTTACTTCATGTATTTTGATGTCTTCTGTATATAAAATGTAGAAAGTAGTAAATATATACAAAAAAATACACTGAAGGAGAGGGTGCGTCCAAACTTTTGACTGGTAGTGTACATTTTAGCAACGATATTTCTTTGTTAAACCACCATTTATGCAATGTTAATATGCAATACATCTATTTTACTGATCAAAAGAGTGAATATGTCAAGTGTATTCCATAAATAAGTTTCCTTCCACTAAATAAGCAACAAAATTGTAGCACTGTCATAGAAAAACATGCAAAAAGATACCAAAAAGTACTCAATATGGCAGTATATCGACATTTATAAGATGTAGTTATTATAAAGTGGTATTCGATATTTTGATATATTTGCACAGCCCTAGAAAAACACTCAGGTTGGCGAGGGGGAGGCGCTACCATCAGAGAGGATTCTAATAAAAGGGCCAGTTGGCAGCGGCAGTGAGAGTGCAGCTGAGGCTCATTACTGTCATAGTACTTTTCTCCTCATGAGGATCACTGCTGGGTCCCTTTCAGATCGCTTCCTCCAGCTCCATCTCCTATTCCACTGGTTCTTTACACAGTCATTTTGACCTCTGTCCCTCTGTGTTGTAATAAAGTTGTGGAATGGTTATTTTTAGCACCGAAGATGTGATGTCAAAAGAGTCATTAGCACTGGCTGAAAAGCAGAGAAAACATTGTCGTATTCAAATATAAAAACAGAAATGCATATGGAGTTATCATAGGCTGTATAAAGAAGTGAACAAAGGGATTGGAACCAGTCAAATTATGCTCACGAGGCTAGCAGTTATAGTAGATAATTTGGAGCCAGGTCCATATTGGGAAAAGGATTATTTACAGACAAAATAGCAGAATAAAAACACCAGAATCATGTAGAGCGGGTTAATATGCACATTGTAAGACTAAAATGACACTGCTCACTGTGGTAGTTACAGAGAGAGGGGTGACAATTTTTGTATGTAAACTCAATTGAAGCCAGAGTCAGTGAAGGCAGAAGTGCCCCCATGCTCACTTCCTATTTGGAAAGCGGGTTAGTTATCCATTTATATATAAAGTCTATTGAGGTTATGCATAAATCTGTGAAGATTACACTTTTTATATACACTTTTGCAGCCATAGGTGCCCATACTTAGCCAGACTAACGCCACCCAGTGCATCCGCTCAATTTCATTTCTCTCCAGCAAGTAGGTCAGGAATCAAAATACAATAGACGGTTCAGAAAAACCCCGGAAGTGCAAGTTCGGGCACCAGCCAATCAGCAAAGAGCCATATATTCAGTGTTGTCAACGATTACCGAGATCAAGGATTTAAAGGGGAAAGCTGTTATTGCCCTTCTTCCTAAAAGATTTGGGAAAAGCTTAATACACCAGTTAGCCTCTTTAGCGGCGCATTACATACGTGACTACCAAATAGCAGCGATTGGTTAAATGATAAAAAGTACCCGCCTACCGTCGAGCAAGCAAATATTAACACTACAAGGTTAGATGGTTTCTAAGAAGTGAAACAAAGTGAAACCAGCTGATGAATCAGGCTAGCCCATATTAACACTGTGAAATAAACAAGCTACAAAGATTAAGCAACCAAAATATTATGGTGCTCCATCAAAGTTCAAAGTGCCTTGTTCAAGTTAGTGGGAAAAAGCTATTAGCATGGTGAGAAGTCTTGCATTTGTTGGTGTATCGTCTTACAAAGGGGAGGAGCTCAAATATGTCCCTGCAGGCCCTGGTCTAGAGCGTTGCAAAAGGGCACATGGCAACCTCAGTTAAAATGTTTGCACCTTCATATCAGGCACTTAAAATAATGACAGTTAATGGAAGCCTATTATGTTTCCGTTTAAAACTTGAATGCACCTTCAGTCGGTTTGGGCTGCACCTCGGCCAGGAATGGTAAATAGTCACATTTTTATACAGCACTTTTTTCCACCTTCAAGGCACTAAAAGGGCTTTACATCAACGAACCTCTCACACATTTACACACACATTCAAGGACACAGCAACAGCATTCATCTGTGGGAGGTGGAATCACACCGCCAACCTGTGGGTCAGTGAATCTGAACGCTCTAACAATGAGGAAAAGGACTACTCTTGCAGCCCTTTTTTCTACCTATCAATACTTGTTCAATTTAGTTCAGTTTATTAGTTTATTTATTTTTTATCAGGGACAATGCACATAAAACATCAACATACACAAAGAGGTAATATGTTTGTGCCAGGTTATAGCATAATTTTCAACTTCAGTCCCTGGACAAATCATACATAGCGTACAGTCGTCCCTTGCTATATCGCGGTTCACCTTTCGCGATCTCGCTGTTTCGCGGATTTTTTTGTGTGTGCTATTTTGCATGCTTTTTTTTTTTTTTTTTTTTACAGCATATGAGCACGTATTGTGTTCCTCCCCCTGCGTCCTGATTGGCTAAGGGATTATAGACCACTGTCAATCAATTTCCTCCGTGCCGTGTCTACTGTACAGTATAGAATGTGTTCAGTTTGACAAATTTACATAAATGTTCGATCACTAGCAGTGTGATTCTTAAATGCTGCACGATCGGGCAATTGCTGCGCTTACCTTGGTGAGGTGCGGAGCTCTCCGTCTGCCCTTTCTCCTGCGGTCACCTCCAAGACCATCCCGACAGTGAGTCCTGGTTAATTTCTGGTGTAGTCCTGGTCTAGTTGTGGTTTAGTCCTGTTTTAATACTGTTTTAGTCCTTGTTCAGTCCTGGAATCAGCCCTAGGTTAGTCCTGGTTTAGCGCAATAGTTTGATATAATCTCAGGTTAATGAGCGGGTGTGGTCCTGTACTGGGCGGGCGTGGGTCTCCAAAAATTGACCCCTGCTGGACTGTGTGCTGTAGGGTGACAGCAGCAATAAGATTTAAGTAGGATGCAAAAAGGGTTAACTATCCGGTCTGAGAAAAGTGTATAAAGTGTGTGGTGAGGGGTTTTACAGCCTTAAAACAGATATAATAATTGTAAAATATTAATTAAAATATAAGTTGACTACTTCACGGATTTCACCTATCGCGGGTTATTTTTAGAACGTAACCCTGCTATGAACGAGGGACCACTGTACATTCCAATTAATAAAATCACTCATCCATTAAATCAATAAGTAAAAGTAGTCCCATTCAATTTCAGTCACCACATCCATACACTATTTACCCTATTTTAATTGAATTTCTAGTTTTGATACTAGTTTTAGATCTGCGACATACAGTGAGTCAACCCCAGACATCCTTGTCTGTGGTTGAATCATCTCCAGACAAAGTGAGAGGTGGTGTGTTGTGTGTTACGTATATCCTGAGTGATGGCACCTCTCAGGACAGGGAGCCATGTCTTGCCACGAGGCACAGGCTGCGTTTGCCATCTACAGACAGTGGCCCCGGGCGCTGTGTCTCCACGCACATGTCACACGCTCTATGCTGTAATGTCGTGCAATGCCTTCAAACCATTCGGCAACAGGGGACAAAACTGCATCAGATATACATCCACAAGTCAGAGGTCCAAGTCGCTGCAGTCTTTCTGGTGTTGTGTTATGTAAATAGGGTTTCTGTAAATAAATTCTCCTTCTGCATGTAAGTATCTCTACATGGCTGTTTAAAGGGTCTATATTATGTTATTATGATCTGTGTTAAAATATTGTTTCCACGTGACAAACAGACCTGGTGTTGTGTTTAGTTTCATTCACACATGTTTAACATACAAATCCTGCATATTTAGACTGAGTTCTTCTCTTAAACAGAAAACATCGTGTTCCACATTGTGATGTCATGTGGTAATACAGAAATTGCTCCATTGTCTTTTTAAACTCATTTGGGTAATTCTCTACTGAACTCTACTGAACTAAAGGTAAAATAGGTAGCTGTTAACTACCACTTGATGACATCACAAGGAGAAACAGAACATTTTTAACTTTGGATATGTAGACAGACTGATAATAAAGGGCCAGACCTGTGAAGTGGCAAGTCTACTCTGGATAGAGAATGTATGTTTTAAAAGTTTTTTGGGGGGACATTAAAAACCATACCATATTTCACTTTGATATTTCTGTGACGGTAAAGGTGCCTGTCCATGCTCGTTTGTAGACAAGCTCTTTTATAATCTTTGTCAGGCTGTCATCTGCACCCTCTGTTTCCACGGCAATGGCGCTCCGACCCCGGTGTCACTCCTCATGAGCACCCTTTTCACATTTGCCCCTGATTTGTGAACCGCTGGCCTTTTCAGAGCAGAATTTCAAACACAAGTGCCACTGTTGATTCATATCACCGCACCATGCTCCTGTGCCTCTGTGGGTCCGTTGGGTGCAGACAGTTCAAAGTGCTCCTCTGAGATGTCGCTTGGTGGGTGACATCTTTGTCTTGACTTTTAATCGTGTTGGTTGTCATGGAGATACCAGCCAGGTTTGATACTCAGAGAAGCAAACAATTGTTATTTTTCTCCTTCATCTCCAAAGACAGCTCCCGTAAGTGGGGCAAAGTCAGGTTCATGACTTCTTGCTGACTGCTTCTCATAGTTAATATGCTCCAGCTGAGACCAAGAATCTCAATGAGGGTTTAATAAAATAAGTTATCTACAGACAGTGCTTGTGAAATAGTTTTTTATCACCAATTAAATGGTATGGATGCATGCCTTCTTTATTACAGTAATGAAATCCACATTCTTTATCTCTTCAGATCCGTGTAGGGACAAGTCTGCTCTTAATAAAAATGTTAAGGGTATTTTGAAGCAATTAAAACTATAATTGAAAAACAGCATGTTAGATAAGCTGATACCATACTGTGGGACATTCCAGGTAAAGCAATCACATCTTCATGGTGGCGGCACTACCCCCCAAAAAGTTCCATAGTATGCCTTTAAATAACCTGATTCTTAAATATTTAACTTATTTTGACAAGTTTAGAGGTAGAACATTCAGAGTAGGTCTATAATAGATAATTTTACATGTTTTAAGGTGCTTTCTTACTTTAAGATAAAATATCAGTTATTATTAGGGGTGTAATGACATCCAAGTATCACGATATGATATCTTCACGTTATAAACCTCATGGTACAATATTTATTGCGATATCGTAGGAAAGCTCATGATATGGTGGGAAGGCTCACGATTAGGGAAATAGCAATATCCAAAATCTCTCTTCACGATATTTTCACGATATACATCCCACGGTACGATATTTATTGCAATATTTTGTGGAGGCTAACAAAACTTTTAATATGCTGCGTTTTCCTCTTTAAATGCTTTGACAAGACTTAATTTCCTTTGCTTTGTTGACAGTGCTGCAAACCCTCGGCCTTCTCTGAACGAAATGTTTTTCACTTCACAGGTGTGCCATGTCAGGGTCAAGAAATGCCAAAAGTGCAAAGCAGTGATGAACGCAAAGGGAGGCTATGTTTTAAATGTAAGTTTGTAGTTATTTTGAGTTTATTTTTTGTGAATACACTCCATACATTCATAGTTTTGATGCTTTCAGTGAGAATCTACCATGTGAATAATAATAGACTTAAAGAAACACAAAGGAAAAAGTGTGTGTGAACTTTTGAATGGTAGTTATACTGTATGTGTATGTAAAATCGAGTGATTGTGGTGTGTAATTTAAAATCTCCTAGCGACAACAGAGCCGCCTGTACTGAGCTGTATTGTGCTTAATGACACAGAAAGAAAAAAAAAGTTTTTTTCTGTGATTACGAACTAAGTTTTGCTAATTTATGCAAAATAAGCAACTAAGTTTTGCTAAATATAACTCTTACCATGCCGTGTGGCGGGAGGAGCTGCCGATGTCCAGTAGTTCTTTCACAGACATCACATCTGCAGAGATAATGGGGAAGGTGTTCTGAAAGGTCTCCTCCTCACTGTAGAAATAAGAGAAAATAAGTTCAGTTTGCAACTTCCTAACTCCTTTATACAGTTAAATGGTAATAAATATCCAGTGACAGGAAGAAAAAGTTGCAGAATACTGAATACCTGCATTAAAAAGTATTTAGTAATGTATTCTGATACATAGGCCAAACAGAGTACTCTGTTTTGAATACTCAGAATACTTTTATATCAAGTAGCATATAAATTATAGAGTAAAAATGCAATTTAGGATTAAAAACAGCTTCATATTTGTTTCACCATTTGTCATGTATTTCCTAGAGAAGGAAGAATTACACTTGCAGTCACCACAAGAGCATTTTTTTCATTTTTTTTCACTGATTATGTGCAGTTTGATGCCAAAATAGTATGGTAAGGTACATTTAGTTTAATTTAATGTATTTGTTTCATCCATTTAAGATCAATATACAGTAATTATGTTTCATACATCAATCTGAATGAAAATTTGCAGAAATAAGTATAGACTGCCATGTATTCCTTTGATTTTAGAAAAGTATTCTGCACATGACCAAATGAAAAAGTAGCTGTACCAGAATAGTTACTCAAAATTTAGTGTTCAAAATACTGTATGCATTATTGGTACTTGTATTCAGTTACTGTAAATATCACAGTAATAATGATTCAGTGCATGTTTGTACAATATGTTACCCTCACATTAAAGATGCATTGTGTAACCTTTCGGGTGGAGGGTCCTTCACCTGCTTGTCTCCATGGAGATGCTACTGCTTTGACTAGACTGTTGCACAGTAAATATGAAATATATGTATCTCAAGGGAAACAACTATAGGCTACATTACAGGTCAGATCTGTTGAGACTCACCTGTATTCACAAAGAGAATTACTGTACTTTTGAGCAATAGAAACAAGCGTAATGGGCAAATGAAGATGTCTTTAATGTCATACCATGGAACATTCCAGGCAAAGCATAAACATCTCCATGGAGACAAGCAGGAAACGGACCCTCCACCTGCAAAGTTGCACAATACAGCTTTAAAGAATCAGAATATTGATTGTAGAAAGCCTATCCCCACAGTGAACAGCAGAGGAGGCCATAGATCACGCAGCACGTTCTAATGCAGCCCCACTCAATATGCATGAGCGTTCATTTATTTAAGAACTCCAGGGAGTGACTTTAAACTGGCAACTCTTCTTATCTCTCCTCTTTAGTGGGTATTTTCTGTCTTCTATTGGTGTACTGACAAACTAGCAAGGTAAACAACGCTTTGCCCAAGTCAAACAAAGCAACGTAAAGGAGACAGCGTGCTCAGAACAGAAGAGACACTGTGAAATATGATGTCAATATTTTTGGAGGTGCTAATACCCGTTCTGTCTGTGGAGCTCAGGGTAAAGCCAGCGCACAGGCTTCAGTTTGTGGCAATGGGGATTTACTAAAGATTAAGGTGCACACACAATGTAGTTTTCAAAAGGGGTACAGAAAGAGACATGACGTACTATAAAGACGCACACAAAGGACACAGGGACAAAATAGTAGAGTATAATATCATTGGGGAAATAGAAAGAAATCAAAGTTCTTTCATTTAACCAAGATGTAGCTCAAAAGTGACTGCTCCTTCCAGTTCCAGAAGTAAATTTTCTATATATTTTTTCCAAAGACTTTTCAAAACATTTTTAATATTAAACGTTCAAAGACATTACGAAGGCTAACCAGCTATGTCCTAACTAATATCCATGATGTGAACTCTAAAAAGCACATTTAAAAAACAAGATTCTGCATAATGTTTTAATAACTTTGCAGTTTATAAAGTTTCAGAGATCCTACATATTTTAGGTCTTGTGTTTTTTTTCCATAAAATCATGGGAAAAAGGAATGGGAAATTTTGTTTGCAGTCACTGTTGAGCTCTTTGGGGTTGGGCGATATATCGTATGACCCGATTTTCCACTTCAAAATCAAATTTAAAATGGCTTTCAGTGTTGTTTTCATGTACAAAAACACATGCAATTTAACACAAAAATAGTCCTCCTCCAAAGTCTGTGCCCCACATGTTTTTACAAACAGAGGATTAGCTGCGGGCTTCTTGATGAAAAAGACCAAAGTTTATTATTGATTGCTTTTCAGAACTCCCTTGAACAAGAGGTTTTTAATCTCAATGGGATTTTTTTCTGGTTAAATAAAATAAAATAAATTGACAATTACACAAGTCTTGATCTCAATTAAAATTTGATGAATTGCCCACCCTAGTTGGTTAGGTGGTTTACCGAACAGACTTTTTGTATTGTTTTTAAGTATTTAACCACAGATATCTGTTTACCTGTAGAATGTTTTGAATGACACAACAGAACAATGCGAATGACGAGCAGGGAGAGACATTTGTCAAACTGATAGCGTCAGATACAAGCATATACACATCAGTATTGGTTAATCATTTTTATTTAGTTCAAAGTTCACTTGTAGTAGCCCTGTGTCAAGTGTAGATTTTGAAAACTTGAACTAGTAAATAAAGGGATTACAATTTCAGATTCTACTTTGTAATGTTTTTTTCTTATAATGTTTAGCCCTATAATAGTATCATAAGGCATAGTAGTACAAGATAATTATATATAATGACCCTTTGTTTGTGTGAGTTTTTGTGTGGTTCCCCAGGAGTGACCTGTAGAGTCTTTTTCCACACCTTTCCCCTTTTGCTCTTGTGTTTACGGGGAGCTTATATAATCAGGAGGAACAGAGCAGCTGACAGACAGAGACAGCGCGTGGAGCCAAAGAGGAGGAGCTCTACCAACAGTTGTTCTACTTCATGCAACACTGACTGCTTTCAATTGGCTTGTTTAACATTAATACAGAAGTCTATGGTGGGAACCTAAAGAGTCTAAAACTCTTTCACATAGTCTAAAAACTACCTGGACCCTGCATTGTCCATTGTCTTATTGAGATGCACAGATACAGCTCTTTCCGTTCCGATGCTGATTCTGATACTATGACTTTAAATGGACAGTCTGGAATTTTTCACATAGGACCTCATGTCCTAGATAGCCAGAGTGTTGGAGATGTGTGGAGACACTTTGTATAATATTCCATTCAGTCCTTGTATTTGAAGAGGTCACTGGTGCTAGGCTAGTGCATGTCAATGGCCATAGTTAGCCTGCCACTAAAAACGGTCTTACCCACTCCACAAAACATCCGAAGCAAAACAATTATAACACCAGACTGTCAATGTAAATATCTGTGTCGATAGAATAATGTCTGAAATAAAAATAATCTTACATCACATGAATTGTTGCATGTTGAGGGACTAGTTTCTCAGCAGCAGTGGAATTTTACTTTGCTCGTAAGGTAGGTGCTAGGTGGCATCAGTCTTTCTATCAGGAAGTACAACTCGCTGCTGCTGCTGAGACATAAATCCTTCAAATGACAGGTTGGTTTTACTTCTAAAATGATTCTATCAACACAGACACTTACATCAACAAACTGGCGTAATAAAAGATTTGCTTCAGGTGTTTTGTGGAGTCGGTAAGACTGTTTTTATTGGCAGGATAACTATGGCCATTGACGTGCACTAGCCTAGCACCAGCGACCTCTGCACATACAAGGACTGGATGGAATATTTAAAAAGTGTCTCCTCACGTCTCCAACACTCTGGCTAACTAGGAAATTATGTCCTATGTCCAAAATTCAGGACTGTCCCTTTAATTACCTGTCCATACCTGGTATCAACAGGAGTAGTGTAGAGACTGAAAACAGCATTTATTTCCTTTATACAAAAGAAAATAAGACAAAATTGATTCAAACGTGTTATGGAGCTGCTATTTATCTCTCAAGTTACTACTGAACCACTTTGTATTGAAAAAAATGTATATTATGAGACCTTCTGGGCCAGCTATGACCAGTAAATAGTCTTATTGTATCAATAACAGTGTCTCCCCTTGTATTATCACAAACATTTACAGTTTGTATAAGATTAAATAATTCTAATGAAAATGATTGTCTCCTCTGAATCTATGGGGAACAGGTAGTAAACAACGCACACATAAGAACAATTAATCTACAGTTAAAGTTAATCTACATGGATTAGCATTTCAGATCCGAGCGAAGGTCATAAAGCAATCAAAACATATTTGTGCGTGTGTCTGTGTGTGTGTGTGTGCATTCATCAAATTGTGGGGCCTAAAATCTGTATAAACACTCTCTCCCTTATGTGGGAAAACATCAGGTCCCCATGAAAACTTTAGGAGATTATGTATTCCAAAAATACGTTAGTTTTAAAGGTGTGCCGTGTAACTGCCACCTGCTTGTCTCCATGGGGATGTTATTTATTTGTAGCTGATTTGACCTGTAATTTGGTCTGTGGGTCATCTGCTTGTCCCCATGGAAGTAGATATGTTTAATACCATACTGTGGAACACACCAGGCAAAGCAATAACATCTCCAGGGAAACAAACAGGTGGCAGATCCTCCACCAGAAAAGTGACAGAGTAAACTTTCCATTGTTTATAGAGTAAGTATTTGAAACTTCATATTAAAGGTCTATCGTGAGCTTTTAGCCATGCTATAATGTTATAACTTCCTCAAAAACATACCTGGAGTTGTGTTTTGTTTCATTCACACATGTTTGAGTAATCTTCCAAGAATAAAGTTGTAGTTTTCAAGTTAAGAGCTACAATGAGCTAGTTTACATTTAGTCCAGAAGAGATTGGCAATTCCAAGACTGAAATCATCCAAATGACTCTGAAGTTTTTTTTTCTCCGTATCCATTGAAAACATGCAAGAGGCTACCTAGGGAGCTAGCGAAGGACCTAGCTATGGACATTTGAGTTGTTACAGTTTTTTTTTTTTTATACGTTTTTTATATGTGGCAGAAAATGTGGCAGAAGAAAAACTTTGAGGGAAAGAACACAAGGGACTGTTGCACTGTGTGAAATGAACTTTGTTTTTCTTGTTGTGTTCATCTGGCTCCCCCAGACACTGCTGTGATGCTGCAGGACACATAGGAGGGCTCTTCCTCTCTTCAAAATGACCCG